TATTTCAATGTATTTTATCATGTTGTAAGCCGCCCCGAGGTTTCGGCAAGGGGCAGCATAGAAATGTTATAATAACAATAATAATAATAATAATAATAATAATAATAATAATACTGAAGATGAAACTCAATTACTTTGGCCACCTAATGAGAAGGAAGGACTCCCTGGAGAAGAGCCTAATGCTGGGAACAATAGATGGCAAAAGAAGAAAGGGACAGCAGAGGATGAGGTGGCTAGATGGAGTCACTGAAGCAGTTGGTGTGAGCTTGTGGACTCCAGGGGATGGTGGAGGACAGGAAGGCCTGGAAGAATGTTGTCCATGGGGTTGCGATGGGTCGGATGCGACTTCGCAACTAACAACAACAACTAGTTCCTTGCTTTAGTCCAGAAAGAACTATAAGAACATGGAGCAGTGGTAGAATTCATACTTAATTATGCTACATCAGAACTGCTTTAATACCCATCCAGGAGTTTAGGAATGGATCCAGGCCTGAGCAGGCTTCACTCTAAGCTATATTTGGATGGGAATATCCACAGGAACATATCGAAACTAAAGTGTCTTAGTTTTTATCTAGTCCTGTCCCTAATTAAACCTAGCTATAAAAGTTGGAACAAACTAAACTAAACTGGTTGGGGCAGGTAGACACAATTAATGCCAGTTTCCAAAATTTTCTTACCTGTTCCAATCACCACCAGCATAAATTTCTGTTAAGAAACAATGTAGCTGGCAGAAAATATTTGGCATTTTCACACATAGGTGAAAGCAAACAAGACTGCCACTGACCATAAATCAAATGAAAGATACATTTCTGGAAATATAAGTTAATGGGGTACAAGTATACTAGGTTGCTTGCTTTTTAGTGAACCAATGCACAAAAGACTAGAAAACCTAGAAGGCCACCTCTTTTGAAGATGCTATAACTAGTGCACAGTATAATTCTAAAAAAGTATGAGATATTTACAGGATTTTGCCTGCAGGACCATTAGTCTTAAAACAATTCAGGAAGAAGACATAAATGAGTATATTTTAAAAGAAAATTGGGTGACAGTAGAAAACTGGAAATCATTACCATTAATCTCCAGGCATGTAAGGGAATCAGCACTTAAATAGTATTACACCACTAAAACTTTTATGAATCATGGGCAGACATCCACTGGAATGGTATGGATGTGGTTACTACACATGATGGTTGCACTTCTTTGTGGAGACCTTTCTGGAAAATACCTTTACAGAAATTTTGGTAATTACTTAACAACAGATTCCCAAATGCTCCAAAATAGCCTCATTAAAAAAGAGCATGAAGCAGTACTGCATAAGGAAGAACTTAATTTTGTTTCTATTGATGCCAGCAAGATTAGTTTTTACAAGAGACTGGAAAATAATATTGTAGTTTCAATCCAAGTTTGGTTCCAAAACATTTGGCACATAACTATTGATAAGAAACTATCATTTTAACTTCAGTGTCTAGGGGGAATAACCTGTGGCTCTACTTAGGCTGTCTAGGGAGCAATAGGGTGCTTCTAATTCTCAGATCTGAAGTTGGAAAGCTGGGAATCTGCATTCTGATCCCCCTCCCCATAGCCACCACACAGGACTGCACCAATTCCCTTTGCAAGCCATCAACCTTGGAGATGGCTTAAAGAGAGGTTTTCCAAGGGAAGGAAAAAGACTTCAGAAGCCTGAGTGACATAACCTGTGTCTCCTGTAAACTCCTTCTTTCAACTCTGAGGCATCCTAGTTAGATGGCCACAGAAAAGTAGAGCAGGAAGATGAAAATCATCTCTACTGCTCCTCCCACTGTGCACTGGATGCCTGTAATCCTCCTCTGTTGGGAAGCTTGTAAGCATCTCAACTGGATTGCACCTAAAAAAGCAAACAAGCCCAGACCAATTTTGGTACTTTTTATTTCTTTCCCGAACGATCAGAAAACAGGTGTACACCACATGCCATGAATGCAGAAATCCAGAGAATCATTGTTGTGATTCTCAAGGTAATTTCAGTATACCTGTGCTTTTCGTTGTTCTGTTGTAGTTATTCCTGAAATTTGTAACAAAACGAGATGTAAAATGATGCACAAGCTATTTCCTGTTCATCTGTACACATATTTACAGTAAAGTGTTCAGGGGCATGATCAGGGAACTGAGGGATTACAGGCATCCTACATAAAGTGAGAAGCAGTGGAGGCAGTTTTTGCTTCTATGTCCTACCACCCTGCATTTTCCAGTAACTTTAAGTTTTAAGTTTTAGGGAACAAAGCTATATCCCCAGAAAGTATCTCAGAGGCCATAGGAGAGCTTGGATAATTGGGAATCTAAGCTCTGCCCCTTCCCAGCCCAGCATGGAAAGCATGTTTAAATGGAGCATGTTGGAGTAGCTGAGCAGACTCTGGTGGCTGCAGTGTATCTACCCTGCCTTCTTCGGTCTGCTTTCACCCCCTTTCCCACTCTGAGGTTGCTTTCATGTGTTGGCTGCAAAGGTGGCTGCGGATGGGTGTTGGAACTCAGTTTCCCACTTCTAAAACCTGAGTACTATCAGAATAAAAGGAGAAACTGTAGCTAATTTAAATTTCTGCCTGTTATATAATGGTTAAAGTCACAGCAATCCTGAAAAGACAGTAACAAGCCAAAAACCCGGCCAAAGTTCATTAGCAAGAAAAGAAAATGAACATATGCAGATTCAGTCTGTTTTGACTTAACTTTGCTGAAGACTTAACAATGACTTTCAAAACAGATCAAGGAATAAGCCGTTTCTGGTAATGTTTCTGTTGATATTATGCACAGTTAATTTTTGTAAATTGCTGTTTTATTGTTTTAGTTTTTGTAAGCCGTCCTGAGGCGATTTCCGAATAGGCCGGGATATATTTAAATTAAATTAAAATTAAATCTTAAAGTGTAAAAAAAGAGTTAAAGAAACACACACGTTTTGGTAGCCATTTGATTGTTCGTTTAATTAATACCTCACCACCTGCTTCACATAAAGCTTTAAGCTATCTACCACCGAACAAGAGAACTAAATTTGAAGTGCCCAAAATGCAAGACTCCTCTCTGTCTCAGCGTGGGGAGTCAGGGCCGAGACTAGCGGAAACGGGCCTCTGACACCTTCCGCCTGCGGCTAAGAGGCGCTCGGGCGGAAATAGCGTCAGCGAGCAGCGGCACTGAGCCGAGCTTCCCCCTCTGCTCCACTTTCCGGAGGCCTGTTGACGTCATTTCCCCCCCCGCTCCCGCCTCATAAGGTCCTTTCTTAACAACAACTACAACGCAACCGTCGTTTTCCCGTGTTTCCACATGTTTCCCCAGGAGGAATAATCGCGTAATAACCCTCTCCTCCTCCCACACAGTTCCTTCTATCTCGAGATGGCCGATTGCCTCAGCCGCCATGATGGGGGCCACTCTTGTTGCGATCAATGGTAACGAACGAGGCGCTCTACTCTTGATGCCAACTCTATGGTTAGCTAAGTCGATCGTTTCCTGCGACGGGAGAAAAAGGGAAAGGTCCACCTGGCGGCAAACAGTAGGGGGCGCTGTGGCGGCCCCTGGCTTGCGTCGTTGCCGAGATTGTACTGCAGCTACGGGGAGCGAGTGGCGAGCTGCCGCAGTCCCTCGCTCTTTCTCTGAACCTTCCCGCGACCGGAGGCGTTTGGGCTGAGGCGGAATGTTCCGCAAGGCGCGGCGCGTGAACGTGCGGAAGCGGAACGACTCGGAGGAGGACGACGAAGAACGGGAAGAGGAGTCGTTGCCGCCGGCGTCCCAGGCACCACTACCGTCAGGCGGGGATGGGCCTGCAGGAGAGGCCGATCTGCCAGCACCGAAGCCCCCGCTCCTGCCGCTTCCGATGGGCTGCGTTCCCCTCGTCTCTCCCGGCGGCGGCGGCGGCTATGTTTTTGGCACTGCGGAGGCCATTGGCCGGGGAAGCAGCGGCTTGACGGCCCCGCATCTACAGCCTCCTCTCCCGCCGCCGCCGCCGCCTTTTCTTATTCCGCCGCCGCCGTCGCAGCAGCCGCCGCTGGGAAACAACGGGCTCGTGTCGGCGGCTTCGAAGGCGAAAGAACGGAAGAACAAAAACCGAGAGTCGGCGCCAGCGCCAGCACCGCCACGCAGGAGCCTCAAACTCCTCAGCTTCCAAGATGAAGAGGAGGGTAAGCGAGTGTGGCCGCTTCATTTTTCGCTAGTGCGGCAATAGCCACCCTGGCCCCGAGGCCTAGTGCTTCTTCCCCAGTCTAGTGCTTCTCTCCCGAGTATCTGGGCGTGTTTGCCCTTTGCGTTGATGCTAACAGAGTGCCCCGTTTGAGGAGGCTCATCTTTGCCAAATTGCCCGCTTCCTCCAGTCTTTTTCTGTTCTAGTTTGAAATTCTCGCTCGGTTCGCGCGGTCTGGTTTTGCAGTTTGGAAAGCACTTCCGCTTAGCAATCAACGTACAGCCTATATGTAGAATAGAGTGTTCGTCACGCGTCTCTATTACACTTTAAGATTTGTAAGGGAGTTAGGAAGCTTATTTTGCGGTCGAGTACGAGATACGCATACGTTAAATTGGGTATGAGCTTGTTTAAACGCTTAAATTATTAATAAAATGGCTGTAGTGGTAATTCTGAAACACGCACACGTGCTCCATCTTGACATGAAGCATATGCTTATTCCACTGTGGTACCACAGGAGAGCCCCAACGATATGTCCATATGACAAAGTTTGGGTGCATTGTTGTGTAAGAGCTAATACTGGGTGCATTGGTTTTGTAGGAGCTAATACTGATCTGCAGTTGATGGGAGCCAAAATGAACGGGGTTGTGTGTGCACCTCCCCACTTAAGAGTCAGGTTTGCATTTATGGGTGGTGTTAGACTTGTCCATTGGATGCTCAAATGGTGTCCATGAGAAGCTTTCATCAGAAGTATTGACTGGACAGAGTTTACCTGGCTATGGTTATCTGTGTCTTACTAACACATAGGCTTGACTACTAAAATGTACTATATTTTGGGCTGCTTCTGAAGAGCTTTTAGAAATGTGCATTGGCCCAACCTGTTGGCAGTCATGGCTTATGCAGTTTTCCTGGCGTCAATCTTGAGGCATTTTCATTGGCTGATCTTACATTTGCTGGCACAGGTCAAAGTGCTGATTTCCACCTACAAAGCCCTATACAACTTGAGGGCATGGTGTTAGTGTACAAACTGGCCTGTAACCTCATATAATATGGCATTGCTCTGAATTCCCTCACCATTGGAAGTTAGGCAAGTGAAGACTGGGGAAGTGGCATTTTCTGTGGTGTCTTCCCCATTTAAGGAATTCACTTAAAGGATTTATGAAAAAAACACATCAAAGGTGGATCCCAGAGCACAGTTGCCTCAAACACACACAGCTTGCACATCCCTTGCATTTGGATGACTCAGGTAACTAGGCAATACAGGATCTCCCATAAAGAGAAATTCCTTAATAGCTGTCTTTATTTTATTAATCAAAGTAGAGTGATTTTAGGAGAAACAATGCAATTTATTAAATCAACAGAGAACACTAAATATGAAATAAGTGTTTAAAGAGCAAGTTATATTCAGTACACAGCAGCTGAAAAAATTGTCCTAGTGAAGAGCACTTTATAGATTTCTTCTGCAATATAACAACTTTTTAAATTCCATATTTAGATAATTTCCACAGGATAACTGTACTTGGCTGTTGCCGCACAAACAATGAAGAGGCTTCAAGAATAACATACTTATTTGGCATAAACTTTCCAGAGTTCAACCTATTTCATCAGAGGAATGGAATGTTATAGAAAGTATTTCAGGTTTATATATTGTATATATTTTGAGGGTTGGAGAGTGAAGAGAGTTATATACAGTGGGAGCAGCAGGAAATTAAACGCAGAAAGTACTAATCTTGTCAGTAGTAATCTTTGTTCTGCAGGTTACATAAACATCCTGCTAGCTAGGACAGTTAAAACATATTGGGCCTGATTGTGTCCCCCCACTGTGGCTTAATTATGTGGGGATTGTTGTAATTCATGGGTTATTTTAAAGTTATCTAATCTGTGAACAGTCTCTACCACTTGGATGCATATGATATAGCAAACTGGGCAACATTCCAGCACAACAGTCTCAACAAGTAAATTAAGCCACAGTGAGCTCTTGTGCATGTGAACCAGTTTGCATTGTGATGAAAAGTTATTTATCCTGATGGTGAATTATTTCTATCTAAGATCCTATTAAACTCTTCTAGTTTAAGTCTTTATTCTCTTTCTTTCAATCCTACTTGAGATAACAAGATGCAGGTGAACTTCATAATCTTGTTTGCTATCCATTTTTAACCCTTAAATGATAAAAAACTAAACAATAAGTGTGAACAAGGTATCAGTATATTAGATGAAAGGTAATAGGAATGCATTAGGCAAAAATGGACAATCTGTTAGAAAACAAATGGATCGAACTCATATTTTCTTTGATATCCATGACAAAAGCATAAAGCAGATGAATCAATTCAGTTAAAAAAATTGTTAAAATTTCAGAAAAAGTGGTAGAAATAGTATCAAAATACAAGGGCATGGGTTAACATTCTGAAATGTCCACACTAGAAAAGTTAAATGTGGAAGCCAGAAAATCTCCCCAAGTGGGTAACTAGAGCCAATAGGCATCAGCTAAGGGAATCACTGGCTCAGCATCATATCAGTGGAATGACTAAGAGGCCCTCCCAACATTATTTAGACTAGGCAAGCTCTTAATGATGGGACACAGTTCATTGAATAATCCAGTCTAAAGATAGGAGGTCTAGAATAAAGGGGTGGGGTGTGGAAAAATATGGGAAAAAACACAGGTATTCTGGATTTTTTCCCTCTAGGATTTTTAGAAAATAGGAAACAGGATGCTTAAAAGAAATTTAAAAAGTTGAATTTTCAAATTATATTTTCCCCTGTCTGTTGACTTTTAAACCATACTTTGATCTTTCAGTCATGCACATTTTGTAGCTCAGTTGTATGTAAAAGTAAGACTGAGCCAAAGCAGAGTGAAGCAGAAAGAATCTTATATTGGGAATTGCCTTACCCATGAGTAGAGGCACTTCATTAAAATATTCTCAAACTGGGTGTCTTTTACAGCCTGCTGCCATTATAGGTTTTCTCCAGGGAAAGAATAATATAATAAACCTCCAACTATATACAGAAGATCCAAAGATGTGTTGAGTATTATGCTCAAAAGGTTTCACTTACATTTTTCTGCTTCCCCTCCCACCCTACACTTAGCTTCTTGTGCAGATCTACTCCACTCCCAACAATCTTCTATTCATGGAATTTTTTGAAATTTAGCGCTTAAGAGATAAGGGGTTTTGATCTGTGTACATAGATTTGCACAGGAACAATGGAATGCGCTCCCCAGAGAGGTCCCGCCTGGTGCTGTCGTTATTTGTTTTTCGGCGCCAGGCGAAGACCTTTTTATTTAAGCGTCATTTTAATTGTTAACAGTATTTGCTTATTTATCTGGCCAGGGTGACTTCTTTTATATTGTTATTTATTTTATATTGTTATTTTATATTTTATATTGTTACTATTGTAATTTTTATTATGTTGTAAGCTGCCCCGAGGCTTTGGTGAATGGGGCGGCATATAAACGTTTTAATAAATAATAAATAAATAAAGGTAGAGGATTAATTCTGTATGTTTATATTATAACACTTTTGCTGTGAAGAAGAGGTATGTGATCTCTGGAGACATTCAACGTTTTGAGAACTATGAAACTAAGCATCTGTGATCATATCTTCTAGATAGAAAAATTGTCCAATAATCTACAGAAACCTCTGGAAGAACATGCCATTATGTATGGGTTAATGGAATTCATTTACCAAAAACTTTAAACATTGCATGAATATGTAGCCTCATGCTACATAATGAAAAACTAATCTGTATTTCATGATGAATAACCTTTGGACTATAATGTATCTTAAACAGAAATCTTTAGGTAGATTTTTTCTTGAAAAGCATTTTTTAAAAATCCAATTTTTATTTTTAAGAAAAGCATTGGTTTTTATGCACCCTGATTGGGAAAACATGATAGAGAAAACAAAATTGTCCAGTGTACTTCTTCCTGTATTTTAATACCAAGGCTGCAATCCTATATCCATTCAACTGGGAATGAGCCAGCTTGAACTCAGTGGAGCTTATCTAAAGGAGCACATACAGAATTATGATGTTAACTTGAAACAATGGGAACCAGCCATAGGGAGACTCTGCATGGGAATATTTAAAGATACTCCCTCTAGATTTTTTTTAAAGGTTTGTGCAATACATGCAGTAGGATGAAGTCCCAGAATGGGGCTGTGAACAAGTGTGCCTCATTACGATCACTCTTCACTTCCACTTTGCTGCTCAAATCAGTAATGTCGGTTCACATTGCCTCACAAGATCCACTGCTTCCGCTTTCTCAAGGTTTGTTTGCGGCAATATCTTATCCCAGCACTCTGAGTTGTTGTTGGCCAAAAATCCCAACATATTCTTGTTCTGCTCCTGGATTGTTTACTCAGCCAGAAGTATAGCAGAAGCAGCAAGTGATCAAGAGCCAGCATATCCATTTGCTCCTGCACCACCCATGATTAACTAACCCATGAGTAATTGCTCTATGTGAACCAAATAATAGAGGTGCAGTGTACTCTTGACCTAACCTACATCACAGGGTTGTAGTTGTTAGGGTAAAATGGAAAAGAGGGGAACCTTGTAAGCTGTCTTGTTCCAATCGTTGTGTACAAAAAGAATAAATAAATGGGCGGGGGAGTGTGCTGTAGGAAAGCAAAAAATTGAAAAAGATTGTATTGATCCAGTGCTTTCCTTGGCTTGGAGGCTGTGGATCCAGTTTTAAAGAGGGTCCTTGCTCTACTACTGCATGTGGGAAAAAGATACATTTCCTTTAATATGTAAGTAATAAAGGCTTTATTAGGCTTGCATGGTTTCTGATTCAAGTTTATTCATGAAATAACATTTTAAAATAACTGTATTTTAATTGTTATGAATAATTTAGTTATTGGCATGCAGGCTTTAAGAAAAAATATCTAGAGAAACAACAGTTAAAGTGTATATATCAGGGGTGGTCAGACTTGCTCAGAAGAAGAACTGCATACAGTAAATGTCAGATGTCTGAGAGCTACAAGCAGGTACTTGCAGGTGATGGGTGATGAGTGACAAGCAGGTGCCCACAGTGATGAACCACAAAATAAACCCAAAGAGCCGCATGTGACTCCTGAGTCTTGGTTTGGTCTCTCTGGAATATATTTACTTTGGAGTCTTATGGCTCTACCCTTGCTTACCTTTGTTTAGCTTACCTTAACTACAGTATCTCTTAGTACCCATTCTTGAGATTAATTAACCCCAGTTTAGAGCTTGTGGTATTGAAGTAACACAAATATGAGGGAGAGGGATCTGCTGTTGTATGAATTAATAACTCTAGTGGAGAACAATGAGATGCCAAGGGCTACTGTTGATTTGTATGGAAACTGCTTTGGGATTTAAAAATAATAATATAGCAGTAGTGCTAGTAAAAGAAATCTATGGTTTAACATGCTTAGCGATATTCTTCAACACAAAAGATTTCCACCAGTGATTCATTAATTTGTGTTTTTTTCTTATTCACATTCTTTTTACTTAAAGAAACTGAAGAAGTTTTTAAAGTGAAGAAATCAAGTTACAGCAAAAAGATAGTAAAGCTGCTTAAGAAAGAATACAAAGAAGAAAAATCCAAGACAAAACCAGAAACTAATTCTTCAGCAGAAGGTAGTTATATCTCTTTAAAATATTTCATATCACCCTTTGGCTTGGCTTTAGGGTTTACCCAGTTAGAACTGTCCTTTGAGAGGAAGGGTAGACTGGGACTCGAGATCTGTGTTCTGGTGACTTTGGGCCAATCACTGTCTCTCAGTCTAACCTACCTCACAGGGCTGTTGTGATGATAAAATGGGAGAGGAGGAGAACAGTGTAAGCCACGTTGAATTCCTTGCAAAAGGAAGAAAAGTGGGATATAAATACAGTGTAGCAATAATAATAATTTTAAATTTTAGGCATTTAACAATCTTGTTGACTGTGGGTTAATCATATATAATAATTATTGAATTGGATTTGGAAGCAGAAGACTTTTTTCACTGTTGAGATATAATCTGAATTAATCGTGCCTGTTAAATTTGGCCTTGTGTTCTATATCAGCTAAAACTTTTGGATAGTCTTCAAAGGGAGTAACATGTACAAACCAATTGAGAAGTTGTAAGGACAAGGGAAGGAACAGCTAAAGCTTGTAAAAGATATTCTGTAGCACTGGGGCTATTAGAATGCCTAGCAACAGAACTAGCTGTACCAGGCTTTGTGTTGGAGAAATAACATTTATGAGTAAATCTGTTAAATGCCCATTCCATCTTAACATTTGCCAGTGCAGCTAGGGTTTTGATGAGCCCTCAGTCATACTAATGGGAAACTCCCTAAGAGTTTTGTAAATTTGTGAAAGAATAAATACATTTAATGCTGAAAGTAATTTATGTTAGGGTATTGCCTGCCATTCTGTATATTTGCCTCTGCTTTCAACCACATCTTGCCTCATGCTGTATTTCCATCCCTCCTGTACTGCAACACAAGTTGTATCTTCAGCTCCTGGAATTAGCAAGGAGAGTAAGAATCCATGATACATGGACAGGTTTTCTTCTAAGATCAGGATGGATGAGATAAGGAGAGCCTTGCAGCCTTCATAGCACAACCTTTTGTTAAATAGTGTTACAGCATTGAAGTTGAACAACAATAGAAGGGGAAGTCTTCTGTGCCATTTTTCCACTTCTAATTACTGGATTTATAGAAACCTCGGTGCAAGATTATTTAGTAAGGAACTGTAATTATACTATATGCCTTGGAAAGAATTTCTAGTATGGGGTTTTTAGGAAAGGTGTTCTTTGTTTTAGAATCCATATTTCAGAAGTTCCATCATTCACGTTAATCTAGAAAAAATGAGTTACTAGGTTAGATCCAGGTTTAGGCTAGAGGAAGCACAGTTCCCCACTTACTCTGCCCCACCAGAGGACTTTCCTGAATGATATAGCCTGTGATACAGGGGGAGGGGGATTCTCCCTAAATTGCTCAGAGGCTTCTGCTTGGTTTTGGGGTTTCCCCCGCTAGCACAGAGTAACCTATTTAGTTACAGGCAGCTCCACAGCATTTTCAGGCTCCTGTGGGGAGAATGGGGTGGGAAAATCTCCTTCCACAAGCACAATTGCACTCACCTAAATCTGGATATCTTTTGCTGAATTTGAGAACGTTTCTTTTCAGGAATTACTGAATAATATCAAGTGTCTCATAATTAACAATTATTTCACAGTGCTTATAAGCCTTTAATCATTTTGATCAAATCTTTGTATTCAGGATTGTTATATCACACATATATCATGTTTTATTTTTATGTTTTATATTTCATTTTTAAAATATTTATATGCTTAATTTTTTAAAAAGTCTTCAAAATAACTTTTTTAAAAATTATGAACTTGTTGGAGTATGAACTTGTTTTACAGCTGAACAGCCTTCAGACAAAATGGGACAGTTTAAAGATGTAATACAAGAAGATGGGGCTGCAAATAGTGAACAAGGAGAAGAAGAGATGGAAGTTGAAAGTGAGAAGGAAGAAGAAAAACCAAAAGCTGCAGGAGCATTTTCAAATGCTTTGTCATCTCTGAATGTTCTGCGTCCAGGTTGGTGCATTCTAGTTCTTTGGGAGGTTTTTGCCCTGAGAGGTTAATCCTGTTCCTTGCTCTAAGGGCAGAGCCAAGTCAGTCATTGCAGACTGTTAAACTTCTGGTGAAGGAGATGCCATGCAGTAATATTCTTGTCATTTTTACACTAATTTTCTGGAATATTTGCTCATTTTGCTGAAAAGTCTTGCTATTTTTCCTCTATTTCCTGCTTGCTTTGGATAGTTAAGTAGCAGGAAGGCCTTCTCAATTTGCATGATATAGTAAACCATCATGGATGACAAGCTATGGTAGGTTGTCATTCCATACCAAGCAGGACCAATTCCTGTGGGGCAACTTTTCATGAGCAACAAGCTACCCCAACAACATGTCTTCTCATTTGGGTTTTGGACCCATGTTGTTGTTATTGAAACCTAGGTGACTAACCCTATCATGCAAGAAACAAAGAGCTTGACAGGAATAGCAAAATGCCCTTGCAGCCCAAGATGAGCTAGCCTAGCTGCTACTGGTGATAGATACTTCACCAAGTGGTACAGTAGAGCAGCTGGCACTCATGTGGTGTGACTGACAATCATAAAGCCCTTTGTGCTTGCTGTTGTGTTCCCTTTCCCTGCCTATTAATTGCAAAAATGTTTTCTGATTTGACAGGTAGTGACAGTAGCTTCAAAGTGTCCAAACAGCATGTCAGAGGATTGTTGCCGGTTCATCACGCCTCTTTTTCCCATAAACACCAGCAGAACTTTATTCAGTGGTTATTTATTAGTTTTTTATTAGACATGTGTATGTGCACACTTGTGTGGGTCTGAAATGAGAAGGTTTGCCTTTATAATAGCCAGCAGACTGATTGCTCTTAAAGTGCAGGGGGCAGCCACCATTGTTCCAGAGAAGCTACAAACTGCTTTATATTTTACTTAGAGTTCTCTTGACAGCTGCCAAAACTTGTCAAGAGAAACAAACACCACAAATGATGTTTCATCACAAAAATGGGGTGGCCTCTAGACCACCTCCTTTATGGCAAGTTCTTCAAAGGGCCTTTTGTTAGACTCTTGTTAGGCTTCAGTTGCTTATGCTCCTCACTTTTATCTAGCCCTAGAGCTCTAGCTTTTGAAACCTCAACCTGGTTTCAGTATTTGGTGAGCCCACTCAAGTGCTGGTGAGCTAAAATTCTCCTAGTGTGCCTATTCCAGGAAAAAACAAAGATGAGCTGACACCATGCTTGTAAGCTGAGCTTTAAACAGAGAACAGAAAGCACAAAGGAAGTCAACACTGAATCCAAGAGAATGTACATGCCTTTTGTATTTATTCTATGTGTATTTTATCAGTTTAGAAGTACAAAGCTACTGTTTTAACATGTGGACACTTATGATTGGATATAATCGATTTTTCTCCCCAGGAGAAATCCCAGATGCAGCTTTTATTCATGCTGCAAGGAAAAAGCGCCAAATGGCTCGTGAGCTTGGGGACTTTATACCCCTTGACAATGATCCTGGGAAAGGACGTCTTGTTCGAGAAGATGAAAATGATGCCAGTGATGATGAAGATGATGATGAGAAGCGAAGAATTGTTTTTTCAGTGAAAGAGAAGTCCCAAAGACAAAAGATTGCAGAGGAAATAGGTAAAATATCAAGGTGCAAAGACCAACAGTTGCAGTGTTGATCTTTAAATGTTATGCTGTGACTCTAAGTGCTAGGCAAAAAATGGTTTCTTGCAGACATGGAGTGTTAAGTATCTTAAGCATAGGTTTGGATCAAAAATTATTTTAATGGAAGGTGACGTTGCGCCCCTTCACCCCTGCTTTGAAAAATCTCTTCCAAGGGTCAGGAGATCATCCTGAATATAGTGCACTATTGTATCAAGGCAGGATGGGAAGAAATATCCAAAAATCAGACAGGGGTTTTCAATTTTGCAGCAGACTATATTTTGCTATTACATCTGAACCAGGCAGACCATAAAACTAGAACTGAAAATCTGCTTTCTGCTTTCTAATTCTGCTTTTCAAGCAAACTGGCTCTGATAGTTGACTTTCCCTGGCCTTGTCTTCCATGACTGGGGCTCATGATTTGTCTGGTTCAGACAAATAAGCAAAGTATGGTTTGTCACAAAAAAGGGCTGTTTTCCTAGCAAGCTCCTCATGAACAGCATCAGTTGCACCTGTTCAAAACATCAACTGTTTCTGCTGCACAGGAAAGATGCTGCTTACACAGTGTATGGGGCTTGATTCCTGGCAAGTGCCCTGCAAACGCTGGGCACACTTGTCAGGAACTTGAATGCTGGCCCACTGCAAATAAGACCAGAGTTCAGGGAGCGAAGCACAGGGAATCCAACCTCTAGAGGTGGGACCTAGAGGTGGGTCCCACCTCTAGACAGATTCCTCACACATCTCTGCCTAACACTAAGTATGACATAACATCTAAACCACTTGTTTGCATCACATTCAATTCCCAAGTCTTAATTAGAGGCAAAAAGAGGACAAACGGTAGTGGCAGTGTTGTTTGCGTAATAAAGGATAATATTGTACACAGGTGGTTTACTTGATACAGTGGATTTTTAATTGTATTATATTTAAAAAATAACGTTATAATTATACTACAGATATGCTGCTTGTAGGGGGGTGCTCTGTGTTAGTCTTTGCATGGAGAAAATTGCTACTTTCCTGTACAACCAGGATACTGGTTGTATATATGGATATAGTTTTTATCTGTATTTACCTGAGTCCAGCGAGCCAGGAAACAAGATCACTGGGGCAAAGGGAGGTTTTGTTTTTGTTTTTACTTGAACAACCACCCTTAAGTTGTATTCCAAACTGCTTTTGACATTAAGGGGAGTTTCTAAGGCTGTTTATGATAGGCAGGAAGGACAGTTGTTCAGCTGGGAGCAAGGGGAATTTATACTAGTATTGCCAGGGATTATTCTAAATAACTTTTTGAATGATTGCCTGAATTATTTTACTGGCAATGTAAAAACTTCCATATGTTAGTGCAGTTTCCTTGCTGTGCTAATTGTGGAATATGGCTTTGTTTGTACCACTGTTGGAGTCTTATTACTATTTCTTTTTACCTTTGTGCTCAGGTATTGAGGGAAGTGATGATGAAGCTTTAATTGCTGGGGAACAGGATGAAGAACTCAGTCGATGGGAACAAGAACAGATACGTAAAGGCATTAATATACCTCAGGCATGTATTCACATAACTCTAAAATTGGAGTCATGAATGATAGCCCCTTGGCTGTATTTACCCCTCCAAGACTGCCTTCTTGCCCCCTATTGCCAATGTAAGAGAAGGGGGGAGGGAAGAGATGTGAAAAAATAGCATCTGTGGCATCAGCTGTTTTTTCAGAATATCTGAGTATGCCTTGTCCTTACATCTTGCTGCCTCTCATAAAATTCTTTCAGAAAGTGGGCTACTGGCACTTGGTCAAAGTTTGGTAAAATGCTGCAGGTTAGATCCAGATTTCACTTTCTTTTGCAATCATGTTAAGTCATGTGTAACTTGATCATTGATTTTACTGGGGGCTTAGTTCAACTTAGTCTTGATTCATCTTTTGCTATTATGAAATTTCATAAAGTAGATTTTATGTGGATGGTATATTGTGTTGTGACTTGTCATCTTAAATAGTATACTGTTTTTACATGTCAAGTACCAGAATAATTAAAAGACCATTGAGGTGTATGTAGTGATTTTGATAAATGTTCCCTGGAAGAAGGAAAACAGCAGCAAAAAGAGGAATTTAGGTTTGTCTTTGAAATCCTATATATGCAAAAATGTCCCAGTATTAGTTTAAAAAAGGCAATTGTGCTAAGTTTTGCACACTGTTATGATGTTCCTGTTCTGGTATTTATGGGATTCTTTAGAATATAAAGTATATAAATTTGTGGTACAAATAGCTATAATAAATTTAGATTACATATAAATAAATATGCATTATAGGCTTGATGTAAATTGAGTATTAGATTTTATTTGCTTTTATGTAAATTAAGTTTTGTATTAGTGTAGTCTACTGATACTTTCTAGAATGGATCAGCAATTTCCTGTTTCTATGCTGGATCAGTCCCTACTGAATATTATTTGCCCCCTCCCCCGGTTGCCAATTCACAGTGAAGAGGGGCAAATGGTTGTGGCTATGGGAACTTGGCAGCAATCCATTTCAGGAAATAGAAGGACCTTCATCATCTCCACCCATCACCAGAATGAAATTGGTGTTAAACTACTTGCTGACCAGGAATGTACATATACCTGCAATTCCAGATCCTTTAAGCAAATCTTGTTTTGCATATGTACTTCCTTGTTTCCTTGTGCATTTATGAATTTTGAAAAGTTTCCTCCTTTGATGAATGCACATTAAATAAATTATTGTTGCTACTAAAAGTAGAACCAGTATTATGGCAGATTATCCTGGTTTATAACACAGTTCTCATGAGATCAGTTTTGTACATATTACACATTTTGTTCCTGTAGGTTCAAGCAAGTCAGCCAGCTGAAATGAATAACCTGTATTACCAGAATACTTACCAGACAATGCCTTATGGTTCATCTTATGGCATTCCTTACACATATGCTGCTTATGGATCATCAGAGACAAAGTCTCAAAAAACAGATAACACAATACCTTTCAAAACTCCCAGTAATGAGATGACTCCTGTTACTATTGATTTGGTAAAGAAACAGCTTAAAGAAAGGTAGGACAGACCAACTTCTTAAAATGTAAGACCTGTCCTCTAGGTTTCAGTCTGGGGTACAGATGCAGAATTTCATCAACGGAAGCCACAGACTGGATCCTCATTACGCAAAGGAAGAAAACAAACTGAGATCAAAAGTCTACTTGGATTACTTCTCTGGAAGTGAAGCTTAACTGTGACCATTCAATCATGTTGAAGATTGGTGCATCTTCTGGACACAAAAAATAATACTGTAGCAAAGGAATTGAAGGGGCAGTGATGCTTACATTACCACATGATATTTTATTAGATTTGTAAAGCGTTATTTTCTGAATAGGTAAACATTTTAGGCATTGGGCTTAAAATTATGGTTTTATAAATTTTATTGGAAATCCAAAATATCAAATGTTAATACTTGCATGTGCTTCTTAATATAAGCAGATAGTTTAATGGTTTGAAGGTGAGTCTAATTATTAGGAAAATAATCACATGCTTAAATCTAAGAATGGCTATTTATAAATTATAAATATTGACCTCCAAAAATTGCTACATAATTTTCTAATTTTTGTTGAGACTGACAGGAATTACAGGTATGACATATTTATTAAACTGTTATGTGTAGGTAAGAACCAGAGTGGGAAGGAAAAATGTGGTAGACACTTTTATAATGGGGTGGCCAAACTGATACCTATACTTTACTTACACTACATGGTTCCAGCTATTCAAGATTAAAGTGAAATACACTAAGAGAAATGGCTGTTTGTGTGCATGCATACATGCATGTTTGTCAGCAATTCCTGGGTGTGCCATGAAGAATGAAAGCAGCAGTAGTTTGAATGTAGAAGGTATTTTGAGCATAAGGAAAAATGCCATGACTTCATGTATTCTTTTCTACTGAGGCAGAAGCATTGAGACTTTGAGTGTTTGGGTGAGGGTTGGAGAAGGCCAGTTTTTAGGGGTAAAGTGGCACTTTTTGACATGTAGTGAATATAGCTTTAATACCTTAAAACTAACTGATCTCTTATGACATAAATTTTCTAATGTATGAAAGCATATGCTATAATAAATTGGTTACTTTTTAAGGTACCATTAGACACCTAGTCAGTGTTGTGGCAAAAAGCACAAAGCTTTGTCACTGAAAATAGGTTTAAAATCTTAAGAGTTAGCTCTTGTAGGTAGGTAGTTTTGCATGCATACATTGTAGGCTATAATAGGTTTTGGATGTAAATGTTTGTGTCTGTTGACCTTTAGGTTGGACTCAATGAAAGAATTTCACAAAGCAAATCAAGAACAACACGAGAAGCATCAGCAAAGCCGTGATGATTCTACAAAGACTATTGAAAGATTGGAAGGGTCTTCTGGAGATGTTGGTGAACGGTATAAATTTCTGCAAGAAATGCGAGGGTATGTCCAAGACTTGCTTGAGTGTTTCAATGAAAAGGTAAGAATGCAAAATACATTCACCTTTTTCAGTAACAAAGCTTACTCTGTGCTCAAACATGTTCTCTTATACATGTCAATGAAACACTCGGCACATGTTTGAAGGGTTGGTTTAAATGTGGTGAAAGCAATGTAAGTCAGTGGTTGGAGTATGACAGAGTTGAAGTAAAACTCGTAACGCCAACCTTCAAATTCTTAGCAGATTCCTATTCCAGGAAACCACTATAGTGCAAAATAGGGACTCCAATTCTGTGTTTAAAAACAAAAGTGTTTCCTGACTTTTGTGGCACAAATGTAAACGATAGTGGACAGTATCCTATGCTACTGCTGCTTCTACTCTTTTTGTTGGGTCAGCAGGACTACCACTAATATCATGGGGAGCTAGCTTCCTAAAACAATCCATGAAATGAGTTCATTTCGGAATTGGACAGATCCCTTCTGTGATCTTCACTGACCTGCACAATTACAGAAATAAACATTTCTACTCGTTTCCATTCACTTAAGTATCTGCTGTTTTCCTGTTGCATTAGTGGTGGGTCCCATCAGCATGCAGATAACATCGGATAGTGCCCAGAATTAAAAACAGCACATAATCCATGTGAAGGGTCCATGTGACACACTAGCTCCTTGGCAGCTTGAAATGGTCGAGTAAGGACATTTATCACCCTAGTTCCCCAGTGGGGTATTGGGATCTCAGGAACACATGCGTGCGTTCACACATATATGGAAAGAAAGAGAAGGAGAAAGAAAGGTTTATGATAATTAAGCAACCATTGCCAGTTGCCCTCTAGCTATGAAATTTTCCTCTTTGTGTGCATTACTACACTGCACCTCAAGGAAGCCTGATTTCCTGTAGTTCTGTAAGCATTTGTGCTGTTTGTTTATCTTTGACTGATGTTGATAGATGTGTAGGGAGTATACAAAGAATGTGTTGTCAAAGCTTAGGTCCTAGTCCAATACTCCAGGGTTTCCCAAATGGCTTTATGTCTCTTCTCTTTGCCCCAGTGCTGTGCCATTTATCAAACCACTGATTCTTTCGTGTTTTCTTGGCTTTTGTGTAGTTTTTCCTTCTCATTCCAAAGCTTGAATGCCTCTCATAAAGTTTAACTACTGACAGTGAAACCTTTGAACTAATATGATGATTTTTAATTGTATTTTTGAACTCGCCTCTTTGGCTTTGGACATTACTGGAATTGGCCCCTGAAAACATCTATAAAATTGAATTTGACTCTCAGTTTGCTCTGCTTGTGTTAATAGAAATCCTCTACTCCTTACAGAAATCCTGTTTTCATCCTTGTACAAATGTTAAATCAAATACTTTGATGTTGCTTGACAAACCATTGTTCACATGCAGACTCAAGTGATACAGGCTCTAGTCTCCAATTTGCCCATGACGCTTATTGGGTGACTTTGGGCCAATCACTGACTCTCAACCTAACCTACCTCACAGGGTTGTTGTGAAGATAAAATGGTGAGGAGGATTGTGTAAGCTACCTTGGGTTCCTTGAAAAAGAAAAAAGGTGGGATATAAATGTAAAAGCATAATAATAATCCAGTAACACATAACAAAAATAAAGTATTGCATTCTTAATTTGTAGTCCCACATATTAAAATTTGCTTTCAAAGATTGAATTTGTCTCCCCAGTTGAACAAAAAACTGTCAATTAAACATAGCTTTAGTTTGGAGATAAATAGACATATCAAGATTTGATAACTATTTTAGTATTGGCCATATTTTATTATTTATATACCAGCACTGAAGTACTTTACAACTTACTAATATATGAGTTGTAAGTGTTTCTTAAAGCCATTTTATTGTTATAACTATGCATAAAACAGAGTTAGTGTCCTTTAGAATTACTAGGAGAAAGAACAAGTTCAAATAAAATTTGAAGAGGTAAAGAGATAAAAACATTCAGAAATGTAGTAAGTTTCTATGGCCTGGACTACAAGGTGTAGTTGGACTACTGGAAAGCATTCCTGCTTCAGTCGGAGAAGTCCTGGATTTTTCAGGATTTCTCAATTCTTAGCTCACTTTCTTATATGTCCCAGTGTTTCTGAGGATTTTTCAAACCTTAGGAGCAGGCCTTTGTGGAGGGTGCAGAAGGACACGTATGCTGAGCATATCCTGTTCTGTGAATAAAGTTTCAGATCCAAGGCTATATATCTAAACTGAGTGATTAGTACAGGAAGCAACAATTTCTATTGAGGGCCAGATGTGTAATAGTAAAAATGCGCTATGTAACAGTGGAGGTTGCAGACCTAAACTTGCTTACTAAGTAGTAAAATCTTATTGAGCACACTAACACTTCTGATAAACATGTATAGAATCGTGCTATAAGTGCGGTAAGCTAATTTCTCTTTAAAGACCTTGTCATTGGGGTTACTCAGTTTGTTTTTATGGCGATCCAAATGAAGATTTCTGTTAGTAAAATTAATTATGAGCTTAATCTGTATGATCATTGGTTTGGAACAAGTTGTCTTTGTGACTACTTGGAGCCGTTCAAACAACCAGACTGCGTAAGAAAAGGACAGTGAAATAGACAATCAGTATAGGAAACCAAGCTCATGACTGGGTCGGGGAGTGAAACTGTTAAGATGAGGTTGAAAAAAACACACTTATTGTAGCTATTAATAGTGCTCAGTGTTGCTGCAAAAATATGTATTTTTTGTGTAGATTTAGTGGTGCACTGGAACTGCTGCAGGAACAGTTCTGAACACCTTGCATCAGTGCAGTTTCATTATGTTATGGATTGTGAGGAGCGTGTTGAGGCAGAGCTTTGGATAACTTGACTTGCACAGCCTGCTCCTCCTTGTGAAGTCATAGGAATTTATGCAACTGGAGTGTCTGCCTTCTTTGGCTATGCCCTCTTTTCACAAGTTTCTGCCTTATTCCTTCTTTGGAGTTGGGAAAGTTTGAACTTTATATTTGATGAGATTGAATTTTGAAGAAGGTTCCGTTTTGCTCAGGGAGGAGCAGCATGAACAATGTATGTGAAAGGATGACAGATGTCCATGTGATTGCACTTGTAACCACTTGATTGCCAGATCTGGCTTATCATTTTCCAGTAGCTGCTGACAAAGTAGAGTATTTTCAGTAATTACAATAGGTAACAACAAAACAAACCACCTGGTGTCATGGCTACTTTTGGGATTTTTATGAATGTAAACACTTTCTCTGTATCTTTTCAATCCCTTAAGAATTTTTGGAAATACTCTTACTGGTTTTCAAGGATAATATAAATGATCCTTTATGTAATATTTTCTTTTCCTTTAAAAAGTTTAATAACTTGCTAAGGAGAATGTTGTGTTTTCTAGCTGCAAAACATAATGCTTTTTGTTATATTTCCTCATAGCAAGACACTTTATGTATGCAAATTCATGGTAACTTTTCCCTTGAAATTTTTGTCTTTCTATCTCACTTTGCAAGGATACTGTTTTAATTCTTGTTCCGTAATAAAATAATTGAATAGCATCATCATTCCTGCTTTAATATAAAACAATATTTATTGAAAATGTATCAGTTAACATTGCAAAACAAATTTGGCATGACCTGGCCCAGAGTACATAGAAGGAAAGCTATTGAGGAAGATTCAGATGACAAAGCAGATTTATTTATTTATTTACAACATTTGTATGCTGCCCAGTTGTGCCTCAGCACCTCTAGGCAGCTCACAGATGGGCTGTGACATCTTTAAATCCAGATCCATGGCAACTGCTTTAGTAGGCAGTTGTTTGTATGTAATGGGTTGCCACAAATACGTTCTAGTCCTTGCAGCATTACTCCAGACTCAGGATGTTTAGATGATAGAGATGTAGAGGACAAAATATCTAATCAATTGAAACTTCCCAATTTTTCTCAGCTTGTTAAAAACGTTACTCATATTTTGAAGGATCTGTTTACAACTACAAATGTTAGAAACTTTTTTTCCAGAATGGATCCTGAATCAGGAATGTGTCATCAGACTTGGTACTAATATTGCTATCTACTTAACAGCCATGTAGACAGTATAAGTTCCATTGAAATGAATGGTTTTCAAATACATGTATTTAAGGTGAGGGTAGCGTACTCGAATGTATTATGCTGGTAGCACTTTCCTGTTTGAACCTGTATTCCTGTTCACACTTACTTGAGAATTGGTTACATTGCAATCAGTGGTATTTAAGCCAAAGCAAATGTATATAAGATTTCACCAAGAAAGAAGAGCAAGCAAATCTAACACAATTTTATCACAACTGTTCATTGATACCAATGTGTAGTGGATTTGCAGTCAAGAGATAAAATCCAGCATTGCACAAGTAGAATGCAAGTTTGTGTAGTGGATCATTTCCTTCCTCTCCTCCTCCTTACAGCCCTCTAACATATCACTCTAACATATCAGGAGGGACCTACAGAACAATGTGAAATGTGTGGTTGCAGTGGGAGAAGGTAATTCCTGAAAGATCTCTCCATTTGATTTGGGACAATTCTCCCATCCCTCTGTAGCCCAGTAAAAAATGTTTTGCAGTGTTCTGTTGAGTTCCCCCTTCTGCCTCCATTCCCCAATTCTCTGTAGACACTGTGATGGAGTTACCTGGAACTGCAGGTGGGAGGATGTGAAGAGAAAGATTTGTTCCATCAGGTATCTTCTGTCCGCACAAGATGGCTCTCACTGTAAAAATAATTCAGTGGATATTTATGGACCATAAATAGTGGTCTTCTTTTGAAATCCTCAGATACCTTCTAAAAGACATTGTATTCTTACTTTCCTTGTAAGTAGGCGTGCATCTAACCTATCCCTTTGCAGCCAGAGGAGGTGCTTTAAGTAGAATGGATGAGGTTTTTTTCTTCTTCTTTCAGACTAGTCCAACTGAGATAATTTTCTAATGCAAGCATATATTGGTGGGCAAGTTTGTAAAGGTTAACTGTAGACTCATAAGTTTGGAGACTTTTTTACAGGATGGCTTTTATGCTTTCAGACAGGTATCTTGTTTCTCATTCTTTTCTACACGGTTTTCTTGAGGTAAAGAGCAGTCAGTTTTAAATCTAATGATAAAGGAGGTGATGCAGCTAAAAGTGCAGCATTCATCTTGGAATAGTATGGCCTCCCAAACAGTTAAATACATGAAGACTTCTTTATTACGGAGTATTATATTTTTACAGGTGCTCCTGATTAATGAACTCGAATCAGCAATGCATCAGCTGTACAAACAGCGAGCTTCCCGCCTTGTCCAAAGACGACAAGATGATATTAAAGATGAATCTTCGGAGTTTTCAAGCCATTCAAGTCAGTCCATCTTGAAGGTTTTTATTATTCATTAAACAACCTTGTTTACTTAGCACAATTTTAACTTAAAAGTCAATCTACAAAACATGTCTGGTTTAAGTTTGGTAGAAAAAAAATGATTGAATGAATCCTAGCTCAAATTCCAAAGTGCCTTTCATGTTTTCCATCCCACAGTGATCTTTTATCCTATTTTACAAATTTGTTTTGTGTGCTGACCATATATTGTCTTTAGTTCACTTCCTGAAAGTATTTTACAAAATGTTCTGTAAACGTGTAGGCTGTTCTGCTAAAGTATTTTTGAATAATACTGATTTAATACTTTAAGAGTAGAAAAGCCCCTGAGATACCATTTGCCATTCCTTCCTTACTTTAAACATTAGACCAGGAGAACACAAATGTTGAGGAGACATTTTAAAAAAATCTAATACACAATTTTGCTAGAACAAATTTGTAAAATAACTTTTGCAAAAGTGAGTAAGAAAACGTAGACCCTCTTTGATACTAGGTTAGTAGACATTAAGTAAATAGTATTCATCCACAAACCTCACATCTTCTTCAGCTCCTTAGGTTTTTGTTGCTTTCAGGTATTCAATATTTGTGAGAACTATTAGGTATCAAGTAATATCTGATTTAAATACTAATTGTCTAACTTCAGCTGAAAAACTGTTAATTTCTATTGCTCATCCATGTCATTCATCAGGAACAGACATCAGACCTCTAATAGATGTGCTGAAGGGCTATCTCTTTGTCTTTTCATAAGTGTTGAGCACTAATGTGTTTTCCTAATACAAACAGTTCTTACATTATGTAAAAAGATTTTTAATTATTTTTTATTTACCAAGAAGTTTGGAGTGATATGGTAGTGGCTTTACCCTTTTTGTTTAGTTTGCACATAGTGATTAAGTCACTACAATAGTTAACCAAGCTGGGAATCTTTTAAAAAGACAATTTAGCTATCACTATTTTATCTTGTGGGAGTGGGTGGGGAGGAGAGCAGTCAAACTTAGATTTATATTGGGACTTGATCTCTCTCTTGTGCGCACGCACACACACACAACAGACAGTCATACATATGCTTCCTATAACAGGAAGTCTTAATTACAGTGTTTGTGCTCTTACAGGTAAAGCACTGATGGCACCAAACCTTGATTCTTTTGGACGAGACAGAACACTATACCAGGAACATGTAAAAAGACGGACTGCAGAAAGGGAAGCTAGAAGGTAATGATATCACCAAGGCTTCCTTTGTATAACTGGAATGGGGAACCCGTTACTCTCCAGGCATTGTTTCCTTTATTATCTCTGACCATCATGCTGGCTGCACCTGCTGATAAATTGAGTCCAGCAGCATCCGGAGGGCCACATTCTGCATCCCTGTCTAATATGTGTTGCAATAGTGCTTAACTGTTTCGTATAATGACTGTTTCCGTGCAGAAAATTTATTTCCCTACATATTTACATACTTGCAGATAAATGCACATCCAAAATGTGGTGTTAGTCTTGTGGGTGAAACAGCATTGCCCTTTTTGTGGCATACTGAGCCAGTTGCTTATGGTGGAGTTAGGCAGCTGGATATATTATAGGTTTTACTTTATGGAGAAGGGGGAAATAGCAAAATGTTTAGGAGCTGTGGGACTAGACATATCAAATAACATGTGTTCTATTATGTGGCAGGTGGCTTCAGTGTAGTTTAATTTCTCCTTGCAGCAGGAAAAGGAAGATGCATATTATATATGTGCCTTGTATGTGTTTTATGTCATAATATTCTTCATTGCTAGGAAACAGGCAGAAGCTCGGTGCTCTAACATTTAATGCAACATCAGTACATTATGTTTTTGTTAACAGAGCGCGTCGTAGACTTGCTCGAGAGCAAGCTGGAAAGATGGCTGATCACCTTGAAGGCCTTTCTAGTGATGATGAAGAAACCTCAACAGATACTACAAACTTCAATATGGAACAAGGTTAGATGATTCACTTTAATGCTGGAAGACATCATTAAATCCCAGTATTTTGTCAGGAAGTTTTCCAATGATTGGACAGTGTGATATTTTTAATAAGGCTATAAAGAAAATCTTAAATGCAAGACAACTGTTGTTACCTCAGCTGTGTGCAAAGGCGGCAGCAAGTTTTGAATAGGTGATTATAGCAAAGCAACATAGAACATGCCATATCCCAGAAAGGGACTGTAGTTCCCTGTAGAGCCACCCTCTTTTCATACAGAAAGTCCATAGTTTAACCTTTGGAATCTGCAGGTAGGCTTAGGGAAGAATCATGCATGAAACCCTGCTGCCAGACAGTGTCAACAATATTGGGCTAGATCGAGTAGTGGTTTGACTCAATATAAAGCATTTACTTATGTCTTTCCCTTCCATTAGTGGTAATTTCAGACAGCTGCAGATAGGCATGTTGCTGAAGCTCAGTTTCTAAGGATCTGACCTGTAGATTCCACAGGAAATCAACTTTTCACAAGTAATGTGGATTCTATGGACTTCTGAACCACTTTCAAAAAATTTCATAAGTTTATGTGAATTTACTCATAGTAAAATATGTGAAATAAATCAAAAACACATATTTCCATCATAAGCTAAATCATGAAAAAACATCTTTTTCAGAAATTTTGTATATTTTGGGGAAATTTGTGCATTTTTGGGACTGTAAATTTGTGTAAATCTGCTTTTGCATAAATATATACATATTTTCATAAAATCCAGTTCCATCAGTTAGCAGATGATAGAATGTAAAGCACTTGACTATCTGCAAAATGGAATACATGGAATGGATTTTACAGTGTCTGTATATCCCTAGCTGGAGGTACCTTTCCAGCCTTGCTCTAGTTCTTTATCTTGCTGCCAGGCATCCTCTTATGGAAGCAGAAAAGGCCAGACCTTGTTATTTTTCAGTCTATTTAGTGACTGTTGCTTTTTCAGTAGTAAGGAATCTTGTGTGGGGTCATGTAAGCCCACCTGAAGATGTGTTAAATACTAAACTCAAAAACTCTGCCACAAAGAGCAATTTCCATGAATTTGTTTTGAAGTAGCTGCTACACTGCAAGGTGCACTCACTAATTGAATCATAAAGTTCCAGCAGTGGAGTTCAGTGCTAGTTATAAAACCAGTGTCAGAAACAAAAATGACAAAAACATGCTTAGGTGTTAATTTTAAAAGCCAAGATATGAGAAATACAAAGAATATAAATATGAATGTTTTCCTAACACTTAAATTGCTTGTATTACTAAGCTATTCTGAAGAAGTACCAAAAACATAGTAACCCAGAAAATAAGATGAATTTATGTTGTTTATGATAATGAAATATTTTTATCCTAGATCGCATTTTGAAGGAGTCCAGCAAAGTTTTTGAAGATGTGTTAGAAAACTTTTCTTCCATTGACTACATCAAGTCACAATTTGAAACGTGGCGCTCTAAATATTTATCTTCTTACAAGGATGCTTACATTGGCCTTTGTTTACCCAAGCTGTTAAATCCTTTAATAAGACTTCAGTTACTTACTTGGAACCCTTTGGAGGTGAGAGAATGTTGAAGTATAATCCGCATGTTCAGTCTGTATAACAAGACAAAATAATTAAAATAGAAACCATTTGGTATAATGATTTAACCCTGTGAAAGGGACCTGATAAACTGCCTCATGTAAAGCCTTAGGGTCTACAGTATACTTTGCAACTTGGTAAATCAAAAAAATCAGTTTAATTTCTTGATGCCTGGCTTAGAAATATCTATTAGTTATGCCTGGATCACAAAAGTATATGCATTGTCAATCTCTCTAACTTGGTTTTTATTTTATTATTGTACTTCTACCCCACCTTTTTCACCTTTCAAGGAACCCAAGGCAGTTGACATTTACTGGCATATTGATGGAGGGTTCACACATGGATGATCCTTTGTTTTCAACACCCAATTGATATATGCAGTATTTATTTTAATAGGACAAGTGCCAAGATTTTGAGAGTATGTTATGGTTTGAATCCTTGCTATTTTATGGATGTGAAGAATATGATCAAGAAAAAGATGATGCTGACGTTTCACTGTTGCCAACTATTGTGGAAAAAGTAGTTCTACCTAAATTAACAGGTACTTTGTCAGAGACTTACATGTTTATAAACATAATAGTGATTTTTAACAAGACCACATCTTGAGTCCTACTCTTCAGAAGTTATTCTTACTGTTTTTGTTTTGTTTTTTGTTGTTGTTTTTTGCACTAGTGCTTGCTGAAAATGTATGGGACCCTTTTTCTACAACACAGACTTCTAGGATGGTAGCTATTACCCAGAAATTAATAAATGGCTATCCCTCTGTGGTACATGCAGAAAACAAAAACACACAGGTAAAGAATTGCCCATAATCTTGCTAAAGGATTCTTGCATCTGGTTGCTATGGTTGTCTTTATGGAGATGTTGCTTTTTGCAACTGCCTTCTAGTTTGGCAGAGTTCAAAGAAGTAGCTCAGGGAAACTGGCTAGCAGATGTACTAACTTGTTTTTTCAAGAGTGCTTTCTTGAAGTAGGACTTGGGCATGTCCTGGTGACTGCAATACAGATGGTAGCATGTGTAAGTATATGTGCTTGAGGATGGATATGCCATGAGATGGATTGATTCCTCAGAAGAAGCCACAGCCTTGAATTTACAAAAGCTTAGCAGGGCTAGGACTGTGAAGGACAGGACATTCTGGAGGGCATTCATTCCTGGCTTACCATAAGTTGGAGATGACTTGATGGCACATAACAACCATAACAGCAGCTTATTTATTAGTGAACCACACATAGTTTATGCTTTGTTTGTATTGTTTTCTTTCTGAATTGCTTCTAGGAATGAAAATACAAGATAAGTTGGGGGCAAGGTGGTTACAAAATTGTGTCCTAGACATACATGAAGTGATAAAGGTTCCATAATTTGAAGATTGAAATCTTTTGCCTACAAATCTACACAGTTAATACTTTAGTTCCTATGTGTATTAAGAAAAACAATATTCATGGGAGTATTCAATGGTGTCATTGTGCTAATACAAAGCAACTCAAAAGTAAAGTCATTAGTGCTTGCTAGGTAGACATGCAAGGCAACACATCCTAGTTCCTGTCCCATATTAAACACTATTCCAAATAGCCCCCATCATTACTTCTGGAATGGGTTATTGTGTGGGCAGTTGCAGGAAGGGTGGTAGTGGGAAAGGAAGGCCCATGAGGTTAGTAGAAATCAGCATGGAGCTTGTTGCATCCAATTCATAACTTTATGGACCCCATAGGTTCAGTATACGCTAGAGATAGGCGCAAGTTCATGTAAGAAGAATCTTCATAATATCATTACTGTTTTGCATATATTTAAATAGTTGTTATAAAGCTGAGTACTTCAGCACTTCCCTGTTTGTGATCTATATAATAAAGTTAAGAGATGCCAATTCAAATTAAAGTGAAAATAAATTTGTTTGAATAATTTGGGATCCTGGCTGATTTCCCAGTGGAGTATTTGGTTGAATTTCCGCTAAAGGCACTGTAGAAAAATAATACTACAAATCTTGTATTAAATTTGAATTGTTTCAGACATTACTGAAAGCTCTTTTGCTTAGAATGAGGAGAACACTAGATGATGATGTATTCATGCCACTTTATCCCAAAAGGTAAGCTTGTTTTTCTTAGTTCAACTCCTTTTGTGCTTCTTTTTTGTAGATTAGAATGAAAAATTTTTAATATTGTGACAATGGCTTTTGTCAGTGATTTACATTTTGTACACTACCAAAATTTAAATAAATATCTTCTCTTTTAGTGTTTTAGAAAACAAGAACTCTGGTCCTTATTTGTTTTTCCAACGGCAGTTTTGGTCTTCTGTTAAGGTAAGGAAGCAAAGAAATGAAAGCAGCAGCACAGACAAATTGTTGGATGTGGATGAATTTCCTTGTCTAGGGAGTGGTCCAGACTCTCAACACAGGCCCACTGTTTTTGTGACCTTGCAACACTGTGAAATTTGGCTGACCTATTTATTTTATACTTTGTTTTTAAAGGTGGAAAGGCAATGTGCACAACCAGTCTTTTTTTTAAATTTCCCTTGTATCCTTTGAAAAGTCTTTTCAAGAGAGTCAAGGGGATCCTCTTAAATAATATGTGCTGCATATGTGTGTTTGCTGAGGAAGAGGACAATGAAACAAATTCAGGCAGAGGAAAATTGCACAAGCAGAAGGCAAGCCAAAGAGAGCGGTGGAAGAATTATTTGCATACATTTGCTGATTCAGCCATTCTGTCCATTCATCAATCTTTTATCCAGTTATCTGTGTGAGACAGATAAAAGAATGCATTTTAGAAAGTGCTACTATATAATGTCATTGTGACTACTTCAAATAGTTGAAGAAAAGTGATATTTTGGAACATGTATGTGCTGCATTTGAGATCTAAAGAGTTGATACAAGAAAATTGAAATAAGTGAAATAATTCAAGTAGAAAATAATTCATATTAAAATAAAAGTATTTATCACATAATTGGCAAATTGAGATGAAAATTCCTATGTAAGGTGCAGATTGCTTTGCAGTTTTGTTTGCTTTGGAAATAATTTGCCACCTTAATTTCACAAACTTTCATGACTTTAATTAGGAGAGGTAACATTCACAGCACAATCAGGTTCTCATACTCTCTTTGACCTCTGGAAGTAACTTCAGTGCTCTATCTGCTCAATAACTCTGTGGCTGACCACACAAAACATTCTGGTTTTATCTGGTTTTCTGTTGGCAGCAGTGCTTGATTGCTTAATTTCTTGCAACTAAGATATTCTCATAAGTAGTGGTTATTGCTGAAGGAAAGAAGAATTCACATGTGTGACTTTTCAAAATAGATATCTGGGGTCTAGGGGAGCTAAATTTTGTCTGGACTGTACCACATGGATATTAATCTTGCCAGGCTAGAGTAAACTCTAGCAATAGTGCTACAGAATGTTTTTTGTTTTGTTTTTCAAAAACACTTCTTCCATTTTGGAATTGCTCAGTTGATTTCATGTGATCTGTAGTTTGTTTATCTAGTGCTTCCTATTATTTAAAATAAATAACTATAGGTCAGTAGCCAACATTACTTTCTTGGACAAAGGTATTTGATAGGTTGCTGATCAACTCCAAGCATTCTTGCATGAAAATGAATTATCTAGACACATTTCAGTAAGGCTTCAGGCCTAGTTTTAGAATGGAAATTGCCTTGAGGCTTTGGGCCTAGTTTGGAATGGAAATGGCCTTGGTTACCCAATGGTACAACCTTTGCTAAAAATGGAATTCAGCTTTGTCGATTCTCTTGCACCTATGGACAAGTTTCACCTATGGTGCCCTTATAGATAAGCTGCCGGGGTTGGGAGTTGGACACTGCATTGCAGTGCTTCTGCTTGTACTTGAATGGCCAATCCCAGGAAATGATGCTGGGGATCTGTGCTTTGGCAGCTCTGGTATCAGCTCCCACAAAGCTCTATTCTATTCCACTCCCTTAACAACTGCAGGGAACTGCTGGAAAGTTACCTGGAAGTCTGGGCTGATCTGTCATCAATATGCAGATGAGACCTAGATTAGTCTTTCCTGTTGATCAAATTTTGGTGAGGCAGTAGCTGCTCTGAATAAGTTCTTGGGCATGGTAATGGATTGGATAATCACCGTAAACTGAGACTCAGTCCAGACAAAATGAAGGCACTGTTTGTGATTCACCATTTGGCTAAGTGCTGTTCTAGAGGGAGTTGCATTTCCCCTAAAACTACATAAATCAGATTTGTAGTTTGTGGTTGCTTTTGGATCCAGCACTGTTAGTCCAGGCACAGGTAGAATCAGTTGCCTGGAGCATTTTTATTACCTTAGGCTGATTCTGGGCAGAAATAGCCTAGCTGCAGTTATTCATACTTTGGTTACCTCCTGTTTGGATTACTGCAATGCATAATACGTGTGGCTACCTTTTTAAATGGTCTAGAAACTTCAGCTGGTCCAAAATAGGACAGAAGTTTTGTTAATGACTACAGGCCAATATGATCATACTACACCTGTACTTTTCCATCTGCACTGGCTGCCTGTTCATTTCAGACCTGATTCAAAGTGCAGGTATTAACATTCAAAGTTTTAATGGGTTGAGACCAGGTTACCTGAAGGATTCACTCCTCCCATATACTTTCTGGGACTGAAGATTGTCTATAGCAGGCCTTCCTACCAACAAAAGGAAGGTGGACCACTAAGAAAGAGGGCCTTTTCTGTTGTGGCACCCTAGTTGTGGATCAAGCTTTCCAGAAAGGCTAAGCTGGCATCTACATTATGTTATTTTTGGTAACAGGTGAAGATTTTACCAGGCATTTGTCTTTTAGTTTCCCTTTTAGTTTTGTTACTGAACTTTCAATCTTTGCATAGCTGCTAAGTTATATTTGTTTTTATTTTATACTGTAATTTTAAACTTTTATATTCCATTTTACCACATTATATTTTCTGCTTTTAATTATTGCAAACCATCCAGAGTACTTTAGCTATTGAGCAGTATATTAATGCTATGAACAATAAATAAAATTGATGCATTTCTTTTATCCATACATGATAATCTGCAAATATAATTGTTAAAATGTGGTGCTACCATTGCAGTGCTTTTGATATTTGACTTTTTATTTTGTGAATTTAGTTGCTTGGAAACTTTCTCCAGTGGCATGGAATTCTTTCTAACAAAACACTACAAGAGTTATCAATAGATGGCTTGCTAAATAGATACATTCTCATGGCTTTCCAGAATTCTGAGTATGGAGATGACAGCATTAAGAAAGCTCAAAGTGTAAGAAAAGACATCACTTTCAGAATTTAATTTCTGTTTTTAAAACCCCTTTTTGATCTTGTTGAAAATACATTACTTGAGTCATTTGGTGTATACATTTCATATTTATTCATTCATTCATTCAAATCTCCTTTCAGCCATCAAACTCATTGAGTGACTTTGACCAAATTACTACCTTTCATCTTAAAGTATCATGTTGAACTAACACAATACTTGCTTTTAAATACTCAAAGTGCAACTAATATTTTATGGCCCTTTATATTTTGCTTTTTAATCTAAGATTGGCTCCCAAAATGGCTTACTTTAATCATCCCACCCCTTAAAAAATGTTTCATAGATTAGGGATACTCAGAAGAGTTTGTGGAAAACTCTTCTGATCCCTGACAGTAGATAACACAGTTCAAGTTCCAGGCTTTTCTCCAGAGGGAAGGGAACAGAAACTGCATGTGGATTGAGGACAGGTTTTTGCTAATCATACCAGCCTCTAGGAACTTTTACTCTTCCAGTGACCTACAGAGCTTGACTTGGCATGAAAATAACATTTAGTTTCAATGTGTCTTTCATGTGCATACTTTGTTTTGTTAGTGTTTACACAGATCAAATGACAGTCACAAGATCTTGGTTTTAGGTTTTGTATGTGTGTGTGAGCAGGAGCAGGGAATACTCAAAATGTAAATATCTAGGTTTTAATTCAGTGATTTGAAGTGAACCCTGGAAACACCAAGCAATGCTTTAAGGAAAATTCCACTTCAGATAGTTTTTGGTCAGTGTCCCTACTGGATAGCATAAATAATTGAATTATTTAATATATCATCCTTACTGCCAAGGTTTGCAAAGCAGTTTACAAATTATAAATACTGCAACCCCCCTCCCAAAAAAAAAAAAAACCAAAAAACAAAACAGATGTTCCTGAAAAATCCAAATAAATACAGGATTACTCTTTTCTCAGGCTAACTGAAGGTCTCCTTCAGGAGGTGATGACATGAACTTCTTGGCCTGGACTTCTTTAATCTTCCCTTGGGGTACACAGGTCAAAATTAGGTTGGGAAGGGCCAAAGGCTTCCTTTCTTATATCCTATGCAAATAGTCAGACATTGTTATGAATTTTTACAGGGTAATTCTATACCAGTTTTTTTTAAAGGTAAGCTTCACTGAGTTTCAGTGTTACTTACTCTCAGCTAGGTGAGTAAAGGATTGTAGCCATAACATTGTGTTATAAATCACTCTTTTCTTTTTGATTCTCTAGGTAATCAGCTGCTTTCCTAAACAGTGGTTCATTCACCTTAAAGGAAATAAGACAATATCACATTTAGAAAACCTTTGTAGATACCTTGTTCATCTTGCTGATACAATATACAGAAATAGCATTGGAAGTTCTGATGTAGAAAAAAGAAATGCGAGGTAACAATCTTATATAATGTTTAGAGCATTCTTCTCCAATGTGTTGTCCTCCAGGTGTTTTGGATTAGGACTTCCATCAACTCCACCCAGCATGGCCACTATTCAGGGACATAGGAGTTGTGGTGCACACTGTCTGGAGGACATAAAATTGGACAAGATTTATTTAAACTTTTGGGATTTGTTGTATTTTAATTATTTCATTCAATGATGGTACAAGGCAATTTACAGTAAAAGCAAAAATAATACAATTCCCTCCCTCCCTCCTTTCTGTATGCCACCACACTAGCCATAGGCTCTTTGGGCAGCTTGCAGCATATTCAATTCCAACAACGTAAAACATTGCAAACACATTGTATTTTCCTTCATTCCATTGTATTTTTCTTCTAAAAGCATTAACTTGACCAAAGATATTTGTATTTTCCTACAAACCCTTGCAGATCATAAAATCCACCAAAGGGGTTAATTTTTTTAAAAAAAATCTAGCAAAAATGTGTGGATTGGGAAAGATTTTGTTTACTTGTGCATTTGGATGGCTGAAGGAAACTTCCTTTGGCTGAACTAAAATACCACTGATAAAATGTATACATTTGAAGCAACATGGGAACTTTTTAAAATCAAAGAGCAACATTAATCAAACTTGGCAGAACAGCAGTACTTTTAGCAGCCATCTGAAGGCCAGTCCTGAAGGAGCCAGCTGAACCTCCCAAAGAAGGGAGTTCCACAAGCAAGTACACAGAAGGCCCTGTCTTGAGTTCCCGCAAGTGCTCCTCTAGGAGCTGGGAAACAACATTTATTGGATGATGAATGCACGTTCCAGGCAGGTTCATATGGGAGGTCTTTCAGCTACTCTGGCTCCAAACTACCTAGGGCTTTATAGTTAAGCAGCACAATGAATTGAGCTCAAAACCAAACAGGAAGTCATTGAAACTGTTTCAAGACCATTATATGGTCTATAAAATTAAAGGCAGGCAAACCTTTGGCTGGTACTTTTATGTTAGCTTTAGTTCAAAACACAGTTCAGGGGCATGTTGCAAGTAACACTGGTGCAGTGTGACTTTTATGGCCATAACTTTCCCAGGAAGGAATGCAGCTGACACACTAGTTACAGCTGAATAAAGGTGCTTCTGGGCAGTATTGACATCTGATCATTTAAGACTACCTTCAAGTTGTGTACTGATCCTTTAAAAGCAGTGAAGAATACACTGTATATTCAGTCCTGGGTTGCCCTGTTTGCCGCCTTCTGGATTGAGCTTCAGATTATTCACCCTCTTTCTTTCCGTCACTGCACCCAGTTCAGGATTTCCACAGCCTCCTTAAGAAGCAGAAAGAGTGTGAGAAATCTGGGTATAATCAGCATATGAATAAGACCTAACCCATCAGGATGTCACCTCTCAGTGGATTCATGCAGATGTTTAAAAGCCTAGGAGACAAAGTAGAACCCTAAGGAATTCCATATGCCAAAGGCATAGGCAATAGTTCCTGAAGGTAATCATCTGGGAACACTTAAACAAATAGAACCTGAACTAGCACAACTTGGTAACTCCAATCTCACACAAGCCAAGTGTTTCAGAGAGATACCATGATTAATGTTAACAGATATTCCTGAGAGGTCCAGTAGAACCAAGAGGGGGCCCTTCTGGTGTAGGGTATGTCAAAACAAGCTTCTGATGCTTCCTCCTTACCACTATAGGAAGTGAGATATTAGCCCCTTAACAACCTGAAATAACTCTGCTGGTTAAGACCGTGCTGACAGAGTGGCTCCAAATACTGCCATAGAATAGGTCCAGACATGGACTGTAATCAATGTTCAGTCAGATTCTGAGTAAGTTTTCTCCACTGTTACTCTTATCTACTCAGGTATTTAATAGTTTTAAGAACCTCAGAATACCAAGGATCTCTCATTCTCTATCTTAGGAGAAGATAGGAGCAGTTAGCTTATTCTTATGTTCCTCACCTCTGAAAAAGATGGAGAGTACAATATAAATTGTGTGGGGTAGTTATCTGTTCATAATAGATCACCTTCATCTTAACTAGCAAGGCTAGATTTAGCATGTGTCTGTCCATACATAGAAGCAAATATTAGTTGAGACAGGCCCATGAAAGCCAGAAAATCCTGAACCAGTCCCACTGAGAGGCCTTAGCATGAATGTTGACACCATTATAGAAAGTGAGCCGTTATTTCATTTTTCTTTCAAAACACTTCTGTTTTGGTAATGGCAACACCATGCAACTGTTCAAGTAGGGAGGCTGTTGGGCAGTGAGATGGTACACAAACAGAATCCCTATCCTGTTTTGCTTCAAAATTATGTATATAGATTAAACTACTGTTTCTTTTGTACTGTACCTCTAAATTCAGGATTTCATATTGTAGGTGTGAGCATGGTTATGTATCTTCCTTTGTGGCTTTGTGTAGTAATCATGTTTATGAAATAACAGGTTCAGGATGCAGATTTCCCAGTCATTCCAGGAATTTCCAATTTGAGAAAGTTAAGGATGCATGGAGCATATAAATGTGACGTTGAGTCTAATGAGTAGGGGAAAGATTTTTAACATTTAACTATGATCTGATTCTGCTTGCACCTTGGGAGAAAGCAGGGGTCCGTTGCCACAATATAGATCCTTCATTTGGGTGACATTTGTTTCGTGGTTGGACAAGAGCACTGCTGATTCAAACCTTCCTATTCCCACACTGCCATTCTGAATTGGCAATGTGAGAATGCATGCATTCCAGAAAGAAGTGTATATGCGCAAACAAGAATAAGCGTGCTTCGACTTTTCAGTGTAACTTTTTTGAGCAATTTCCAGTGATGGTCATAATTGCTGATTCAGTTTTGAATCACACAGAGAGGATTTTTTCAATCACTATGCTTTTTCAATCAAGCATCTGATTATTTTATTGTATTTAACCTGTTGCGCACAAACCTGTGGGCCATATTATTTGGTGTCACAGCTTTGAGGTCCTATGTCCTTGAAAATAGGATTCCACACATAAAACACTGTCGCTTCTCAGTCAGTGTAGAAAGAACCATGCTGATTGCTATGTGGGAAGGACACTGAATTCAGTTCTGAACCAGGTTGTTTTACTAAGAAATCTTCTGGTTGCCTCTGTCTTTGTATATCAGCCAGTAATGTGTAATGCTTAATTGCTTTTTGTTTCAAGAAAAAACCCTGCTGACTGTTTATTTTTTCTACTCTCCCTAGGGAGCATATAAAACAGATAATAAAACTTCTATCAAGTATTCGAGCACTGGACCATGCTGTAACAGTGGCAAATGATCACAATGTGAAAGAGTTAAAAATTTTAAGTGAAGGGAAGTAATTACTTTTCAGTTAATTCTGGAATTTAAAAATCATTCCTGAAATGTAATTTTGTACATATGTAAAGTTTTCTTAAATTGTAAACGATTGTTTTTAATACAAAGTGCATTCTTATATACAGCATCCATAATAGTATTGATGTCGTTAAGAACATTAAAAGACCAGGAAAAATTTTCACTTGCATCTTGTTTACAAAAAAACTTTTATGCCCCATGGTATCCATCTGTTAACTGTCCACTAGTTAAAATGAATTTTTGTACCATAAAATTCATTACCATATTAAATGAAATATTTATAGGCCCATAGTTAAGTGTTTGAAATAAGAGTCTCTTTCAGAGTAAGATTTTCGGTTGCTGGAATTTGGTGATAAAATTGGTCAGAAAAATTAATATGGTATGACCCCCAGGAAGAGTAAATAAATTTTCAAAACATAAGCCAGTGTTTGTGACAAAAGTATAGAAAAGTTAACAGTTACATTCAGATGTTACTTTCTTTTTTAAAAATTCAGGAAAAGCAGCATGCAGTTGCTTGTTCTTAATGGTAATGTGCAACTTCAGTTACCCAAGATAAATTTTCAGGGGAAAATATATCAGTCATGCAAACTGGATTCTTGTTTAGGAGAAACACTGCTTTCATTATATATTTTCTATCATTCAATCTTATGGGAAATAGATGTTCTCATAACATGTTAATTCAGAAGTACTAAAGCCCCCACTTGCCAAGCATACATAACTAATGTTCGCACTTTGGAATATTCCAAAACTTTTACTTGAACTGCCTAATTTAAATAAAGAATAAGCCTTTTAGTTGTCAGGGTTATGGCTTGCCACTACTGAGTCTGAATTTTGAGGAACATTGTCACTGTTGTAGGTAACTTGCTTATCTTCAAGTGTAGTCCTTTATACTTGAGAAAAGTAGAAAGTAAATACTGAATAATGTTGGATCATTGTGCTATATGATGCTCCTGTCATGTGATGTAAAGAAAATATTAAATGTACAGACTGTCTTTTAGACATTGAATCATTTTTTTAACTCTTTACAATTATTTTCAGTCATAGGTCCAACTGGCTTCAACTTCTTAGACTGAGAGTATTCATACTATGGGTGATCGTTAGGGTTAGCTAGCATCTCTTAACTGACAGACACAGCAGAAGAGGGAGGGAGCACCTCTTCCAAATCTGCTCAACAGCCTTCAGTCCTCCAAATCAGATGCAGTGTATATCTCCTCGCAGAAGGGAGCAGTAATTGCTTTCCATCTCATTCTGTAAGGACAATTAATTGGATTCCATCTTTTGTAGCTTAGAAATTCCATTAAAATATCTTAAGATGTTCCACCCTAGCTCAGACTTATGTTAGTAGGTGAAAAGACAAACATAGTCCAGTAGTGAAGTGGGAAGTTTGTTCAGATGCTTCTAATTTCAACAAACATAACATGCCTGGGTGGTGGAAGCATGTTCAACTCAGCACAGATTAACTTTTGGCTAACTCTGTTTGGGCTGCCACATGTTGAAAATGTTTTTGATAAATAGAGCAAATCTGGTGTATCTATGCTGACTGAAGACATTTGTCAGCCGAATGAGGAGAGGATCATTTTTGTCAATAACGCACTCCACCATGTTCCTAAGGGTCCTAGAACCCTCGGGAACACCATAATCACTTTCCCTAAAAACGGGACATTCTTAACTGGGAAAGTAACTATTACAAATCCTTGAGTCCGCAGAATCATTTCCATTTCAGAATGATTTACACAACCACCTTCCTCAAGATGACAGACAGCACTCTTTCATACAAAGATGCATTAACTGTACCCTGAGCCCACCTAGCCATTTCTCATCAACTAGCTTTAATTTGTCATGAGGAATGAATTGTAAGGGCATAAGATCAGACAATGTGCCTGCAGTTATACATCAGGCTGCACTGACCCTACAAAACATGGCCATATGCGGCACCATCCTCATTTAGATCTTGTATAATTGGCATCTAAAGTGTTTCAGAAGTAAGCTACCTTATTTTCAAAAGTGCAGTGAAAAAGCATCACAGCTGGCCTCTGAGCTGGCCTGTACTTGAACACACAACTACCTAGATCAGTGTCACTGCATGCAGTGACTTTAGTAAACCAAAGTAAACTTTTCAAGTCCTTCATTGCATTCATGTCCTGTTTGTGAACTTCTCCTAGGCATCTAGTTGGTCAGTGCAATAGAATGATGATGAACTAGCTAGGCCATTGATTTGACCCATCATGGCTTTCAATAGATGTTTTTCCCCTCTCATCTGGTAAGGTTCATACCTTACCAGTTCCTCCCATGCTGTCATACTGTAGGAGGCCAGCTAGCTCTGAAAAAAAAATCCTGCCTCTGGGGCCAGGAAGACAGATAGGGAGGCATGGCCTCCTCAGAAATCTCCAGTTCTTCCTGCACTTTGGTGGGAGGCAGATTTTATTGGCTCTCATGTTCGGACAGACCAGACCCCAGTCACATAGGCACTCCCTTCCCTTCGAAGGCTTTCCCAAGGCTGATTTCTAGTTAGCATCTTGGAGTTTCTCAACCAAGAGGATGTTCTCTTAACCTTGCAAGGTCATGCAAAGATGGCAGAAACAAAAGCAGCTTTCCCAGCAATGATTCCTTCTCATTACTGCCATCATGGAGGAAATCCAGTGCAATGAGTGGGAAATGCCAGCAATCCTAGACCTTCCCATTGCTACTTTGACAAGTTCAAGTCTTGAATGTTCTAGCTGATTAGCTGAGCGTGATCTCCCTGGACCTGAGGGGCGTTTCTTCATATCCAGAGGTCTTCAAGGCACTGACACAACAGTTGGGTCTCCCCTGCCTCAGTCAATTTTCCTCTTCACAGAATGTGAAACTTCCCACATTTGCCACCTACTGGACAAAAGGAGCTGAATTCTGAGATGCCTCAGGACCTTCTCCATGCCATCCTGCCCCTTCCCCTCACCCCAAAGGTATTCAAAAGGATAACATCAATGTCCGAAGGTATTCAAAAGGATAACTGATCAATGTCCCAAGTGATCCTTGTGGCCACATACTGGCCAAGAATGCTGTGGTATACCAACCTGGTGAGCTTGTCAATCTCCTAATCCTTCTAACCCACCAGGAACTTCTTACTCAGGGACGCATCTAGCACCTAGATCTGAGTTACTTTAAGTTAATTGCCTATAGGCTGAATGGAGGATCCTAAGCAAGTAAAGCTACTCTGCCCAGGTGATCTCAACTCTTCTAGAAGAGATTCTTTCAATAGTCTGATTATACCTGGCAAGTATTCCTGGCATAGGCCAAACCTTCAAGTATCCCAGACATTCTAGGGTTTCTCCAGGTGGGCTTTTTAGTTGATTTTTGACCCAATACCCTCAAAAGAAAAGTTGTAGCTCTAGGTTGATTTGCGAGACTCAGACTAGACTCCTATCAGCATGTCACAAGGTTCCTGGGGGCGGCATCCTTAATTAGTCTCGCCCCCCCCCAGTCCATAGGTTCCTCACCTAGAGCTTGAATACAGTGCTTAAGACCCTTGCCAAAGCTCCCTTTGAACCCTGAGGGGTGACCATTCAAGATGTTGACTCTCAAAACTATACTCCTGGTTGCAAACACTTCAGCCAGAAGAGTTTCAGAACTCTTCTGACAGAGACCTGTGTCTCTTCCAAATAGACAAAGTGATTTCTCCACCCTGATCTTTCCTTTATCCCCAGTTCAACCTTGCACAGGCTTTAGAAGCTGGTGATCCCCTCCTGCATATAACTATCTTCCACTGGAAAAAAAACCAGTGACATACACATTGGACTTTAAGCATGTAGTGCAGTTCTATCTAGATAGGAAAAGACTTCATAAAATAGCACTCTATATATTTCAGACCTCCCTCCCTAGGAAAGGCCTCCATGGTTAGAAGTTGTGTGAATGCATTGCCCTGCCTATATTTTCAGTGGCCTAACAGTTCTCAAGTTTGGCACATTTCATAAGGAACATGGCTGTCTCAGCAGCCATTTGTGGGAGGGACCCTTTAGATTTGTAGGACAGCACCTGGTCCTCTGCTCACACGTTTACCAGGCACTAAAAGATAGATCTCTTGGTCTCTGTGGAAGATGCCTTCCACAGGCACAGCTTGCAGAAAGTTATTTCATCTTAGAAGGCTGGTTAAAGGAACCTGTTGACCCACCTGGGAATACACTGCTTTCTCATATCCTCAGAGCTAGCTGTCCTTCTGCAGTAGAAAAACTTCCATTTGATGACTCATTCATGAATTTTTGTTTTCCATGAGCAAAGGATGCCAGCTGCTCCAGAGGTTCAGCCTCTTTCAATTGGTTAGACAGGGAGGGTTCTTCTCTACTCCACAGGGTACCTGTCTCAAGTTTCCCTGCTTGAGGGAAACAGCAGCAAGAGGAACACCTTCCTGATCCAATACATCAGAAATGTCAACTGGTGAGTTCTGGGGAGGCCTCACCTCTTTCAGGTAGTTCAGTTGTATCTGCCTTCCTGGGCCGAAGACAGGGTCTTTGCCAGGGCTAGCTGCCTCCCTCACTTGCAAAGAGCAGAAAGTCACTTGTGAGAGAAGAATTTCCATTTCTGAAGAATTGCATTAGATGTGTATCTGCATAATATGAGAGAAAAATGCAATTCATAGTATTCTATATGGGTTGTTTGCAGTTCTACAACTTCATTTAATGGAAAAAATGTAATTAGGGTAGGCAACTTTTTGGGGTACATCTGACAATCTGAAAAACAAAAAGGTGGTGTGACAAAGGAGAAGTGTCCCAGCTGAAAGGATTTGAGGACCAGGCAGGGATAAGTGAGCCACAATGCACAAAGCTCCTTGAAACCCCCAGTTTTCAGCACCAACAGGAACCTATTTCACAACAAATTCAGCTGCTGGTAAGAAAATGTTTTCATTTCATGTTTATCAGCTGTCCAGGGTCATGTTGAAACCTGTGGGCACCATGCTGCCTACCCCTGTGGTAGATAGATCTTTACATTATCAGTGGATCCATATACATAGCAATTCACTGAATGACCATGGCAAAAAAGTAGTTTACTAAGTAGTAAACTGTTTAGACTAAAGATATAAAATACAAGTAAAATAAATCTCTAGCAGTTTCACTGTCTGTCTTGCCTCTGATTTCAGCTGTCTGTACTAAGTTTATTTGGGCATAAACTCCCCCTTGAAAAGGCCTTGTTCCCAGTTGTGTATACGAATGTAGCATCATTTTTTTTAATGAAGACAGCAGCTGAAATTAATAGGCATACTTTAAATTAGTCTTTCTTTACAGCTGGAGGACTTCTATACTTGGAGGACATTCAGTGCTGTTGCATTGGTACTGTCTATATTTTGCTACCAACCTTAGAGGAGCAGATGCTATAAAGTTAAAATAGGCTCCTTTTTATTATTAAAAAGGTTGCATTAAGATCCAGTATATAAAGCTGAAAATTATCTGGATACTGAAAAAGGGATATTGAATCAAGTTAACACTGCATAAAACAAAGATTCTTTCCTCATAGAATCATATATATTAATATATATATTATTTTTTCAAAATTAGTTATCAAGAGAGTATGTTTTAATATCTAAATAAGGGGTAAAATGAAATCACCGTATTGAAGCTGTTTCTACTGATAGAATATATGACTTTGTACCTACTTAAGTGAGAAATTGATGGCTAATTTTTTAGGTCTACTTCAGGATATACAGTATATATTTTTTCTTACTCTCATGATTTTAACCCTTTTTAGTTCCTGAAAAATTACATTCATATAAAGTTGTTCTATCAAGTAATACTGCTAAAACATAATTAAAGCTTCTACTTAATGTGGGACCATATATAGACAATAAGGTAAATCTATTTCTGGCACATCTAACCTTTTCACTGTTAAGTAACTAGTGTCATCTAAAAATAGAACAAGACAGTGGCGGCATTCCTAAAGCTCTTTGCTAGAGTCGGGTTGAAGGCAGTGCAGGCATCACAGTGCAAAGCAGTTATGTAGACAGTAGTAGACTGCCGTTCAACTAAACCACTTCAAGATGTATAGTAGTATAGTATTTTTTGTTGTTGTTAGTCACAAAGTCGTGTCCAACCATCGTGACCCCATGGACAACATTCCTCCAGGCCTTCCTGTCCTCCACCATCCCCCAGAGTCCACTTATGCTCAGGCTGACTGCTTCAGTGACTCCATCTAGCCACCTCATTCTCTGCCGTCCCCTTCTTCTTTTGCCATCTATTGTTCCCAGCATTAGGCGCTTCTCCAGGGAGTCCTTCCTTCTCATTAGGTATAGTATAGTATTTAAGAAAATTTTTAAGTCATCATAAACAGAGGATAAACTAGCAATAAAACATCTCCACAGTCTAATACCTTTTTCACTACCAAATTCCAAAGGCTGCGGCATCAGGAAAGGATATCTCCTGGTAGTACATTTTTATATAAACTTTACATTGTTAACACATTTATACATAAACTTTATTATTATTTATTGCATTTCTATACTGTTCCACAGCCAAAGCTCTCTGTTGTCTGAAGGATTTTCAGTTTTACAAAGGTTTCAAACTAACAAGATTATTAATGGGTTGAAAAAGTAAGCTTTTCTGGGGTAACTGAACACAATTAATTTGTTGCATATTTAGGCTGAGCAAAGTCCAGTGTTCGTTAAAACAGAAATGTCTTAAATAGGCTGCCAGGCTCTACTTTAATTGGATTACATTACAAGCCTGCACACACTTAACCTGGGAGTAAATCTCATAGGTTTCAACAACTTACTTCGGAGTAAGAAGTAATCCATGGATAGGATTACCCAGTTACACTACTAGTAATGTAGCTGAGATTAAAAGAATTTCCAACAGCCAAATTCTTCAGTGAAAAGAAAATATACAGATAGGCTGAAAAGCCTTTTTACATTTCCAGCATCACTCAAGTAGGGCTCAGGGCAATAAGGCAAAACTCTTCATCTGAGGTGCGTCTGAAAACGCAGACTGGATCTGACTAGTCAACAACTAGCCTAGCTATCATGGAAGCACTTGTTATCTTCCTTAAAATAATTATTAGTTATGCTAACATCCGTCTTGCCGTCTCCTCAACTCTCAAAGTACAACACTTCTGGCCGGCCATTCTTAGGTAACCAAACACCAGGTGGTCAGAACAGGGAGCGCTGGAGTCAAACACCACGGACCTTTGTGTTTTGAGAACGCTGAACAGTCTCAGCCAGGGCAGGCTGAAGAACGCGTGGCCCCCGCTACGGGGATGGATCGCAACTTCCATCAGGCCTAGCCAGCCCAGCCGATGGTGAGACGATGGATGCTGTCGTCCAACACGAATCGGAGGGCTACAAGCGGCCCACCCTGACCTAAGCCTACCTACACTTACGACCCAACTGACTTCAGTGAGATGGATCTCAGGCCAGCGGGCCTCGGAGCGCGCTCGCAGGCACTTGGCAGCTGGGAGAGAAGGGAACGTTCCTACAGCCCTTCCTAGCCCCGCTACTCAGCAAAACAGGCAGGCGTTGTCCCCGGCCGCCTGCCTGCCTGCCTGCCTGCCTGCCTCTCGTTGCCGGCGCAGCGTCCTCGACTCGGTCCCCCGCCCCACCGCTTCCGGTGTGGGGGCGGAGCAATGCGGAAGCGCTGGCCCTGCCAGAGAGGAAGTGAGACAAGCGCCTCAGGCAGCGGCATTAAGAAGCGCCCCTGGAGGTGGCGGAGGAGCCGGTAAGGGCAACTCAATTGCGGGGAAAGATCCGACAAGACGTCAGTGTTTTCTCTACCTCCCCGCACCATTTGCCCCTCTCTGTTTCTCTAAGTGAGAGTCGGAGCTGCTTGTCGCAAGGACCCGGAGCTGTTAAGGGGCGAAAGGGAGCATCTCCTTCAGTACAAGATGGAGGCTTCGTGAGCCGCGGCGACACCCACACCGCTTTCTGCTTGTTCTGCTCGGTCTGTCACGGCGACGGCATCAGGAATTCCGATTTGCTGTATATATTGCTCCCCCACCCCAGGTGCTATATTGGTGTCGCCTTGGCGAGGCTAGCGCCCCCTTGCCCACTCACCTGCCTACCAAATTGGTCATAGAGGAGAGTCAGGTAGTCTTTGCCTGCCTGCCTTGCTCCCTAATAAATTCGGCATGCGACGAGGCTTTGCGGTAGTTTCCTCCGTTTTCCCTCAAAGGCCGCGAAAATAGCGCCTCTTGTTCCGTTTTCGGTTGAAACGAAGGCGGGGACAATAACGGTAGGGAAGAGGGTGGCTAAACCCTGCTTAAATGCTACTGCCTAGGAAATAGATTCAGTTCTGAAGGGGGCCGTGTGATCGGTAGAGAACTGTCAATGCAGGATACCTTTAAGAAACGTTTCTGCACCGCTTTGTATTTATATACATACTTTCCAAAATGCAGTTTTCAGTGCTGGAACTCTCTTTCAAATTATTGAAATGTTTCCTGCTGCGCTTCTGTTGCTGCTGCCATTGCTATCATTTCTCTCTCTCTTGTGCTTCATTAAGAAATCAATTTCCATACTCAGTGGTGCAATGTTTCCGTGGTACTGATGACAAAGGATTACTGAAATTGCTTTACACTATTGAATCCCATTCCATTATGTCTCACTTGTTTAATAAAACAGAGTTTTAACGTTATTAAAAACATAATGGTGTGTGCAGGAATGGGAGAGTGTCTGAGTTATTGCCTATTAACTTTTGGTCTTTTGCATATAACAATTTATACATGAGGTGTAACTCCTAAAAGAATGTATACAAGGGATTAGAATTAGTTTCCTAATTGTAACAAAGACTTTAATACAGTAGAAAATTATGTGCTAGGTTCTTTTGCAGGTACTGATCTTACCCACATAGATTCTAGCATGACTGTGTATCAGTATAAAACAGCAGTAGAAATGTCTGGAAAATTTGCTACTAGGGATCTGTCCCTTATCCTTTAGCAGTGAATTAAATGCATTTGTGTTCTGGAGCTAAGCCTGATGATCCTTAGTTCAAGTTAAGCCCTGAATAAGCAGGTTGATACTATGTGAAATGCATAGTAGCAATGAAATGCAAAACTCCTTGTGTGTGTCTAAACTTTACTGTATTTTATGAGCAGCAAACCTGAGCTGAATATTTTAGGATACGAAATATTCAGATTAAAGCAAATGCTGCCTATTCAGTCTATAGCGCATTTATAGTATTGCACAGAAATATGATCTTTATCATATTTGGTTATTAAACAATTCAGTAGTCCCAAGAAGCTTGCTTGTAGATGTGGTAGCCTGTCATTTCAAGATGTAGCTTTTACCTGGGGATAAGCATGCTAATTTGCTGATTGGCTTCCATGAAAGCTGAAGCACTTGTAGGTGTGCATGGTGGGATATGCCAATGGCTAATAGGGGTGTGTATCAATGGATCTGCTCATAAGTAAACACTTCCTTCTTGTAGCAAGCTAAGATACCACTCTTTAGCGTATGTTTGGATATTGAAATGATGCATAGACATTAGTATCCCTTCTGCATGCTGCTTATTCCCCTGTATCCCACAAAATTTGAATGTGTAGTCCTATATAGTATCGTTCCTGAGAATAAAGCGTGGAAACTGTTGCTTTACTTGAATATCTTAGCTGCTTTGCTTAGAATAAATCCTGACATAGATGCTATTGAAGTTGCACTGATGCAGTTAATTAATATTTTGATATATAAACTGTTCTAAGTGTTGGACTGCAATGAAATACTACAGTTCTCATGAAGCAGTATTCTGATAAATAACTGTTTCAAATATGGTTAGCTTGCCTTTTTTCTGAAAAATATCCAACCAACTAAAATAGTTAAAACAAGTCAGAATAAAAATAGCTATTAGAGTATGTATTTTTTAAAAAATCTGAAGGAGCCCAATGAAAGATAGGTTGAAAGGAGCAGTAATGGGCATCAATAAAATTTTGGTATGGTGTTTCATTTACTTGGTTAACACAATAGTCCCTACCCATCAGTATTCAAGGTTGGTCATGAGCTGAATGTCATTGAACTGTGGATTGTTTTTGCAATTGGGTGGCTATATTAATCATGAACATCCCCAGAATTCACAACCCAGCAACAATCTATTGGTTTTCTTCCTAGGTTTATTATTGTTGTTTATCAGCCCAGCTGGGGTCACACAACTGCATATATATGTTAATTTGACTGCTTTACAGTGGGTGTTTCTAATTCCGTTTTTGTACTTCATTGTACAGTTCAGCCTCTGACCAAGGAAAAATGGCATTCAGTAAAGGTTATCGTATCTATCATAAACTGGATCCACCACCTTTCAGTGTAATAGTAGAAGCCAGGACCAAGGAAGAATGTCTCATGTTTGAATCTGGAGCTGTGGCTGTTCTCTGTAAGTTAAGAAATTCTGCAAATATAAACAGATGGTTAACTTGAGAAATCGGTAACAGTAAACATGGGAGCATATTAACTGTTGAGTCATCATATCTGCTTTGCCAGTCCTTAGAGTATTTCCTGGTCTTTCTTGCTTTAAAGTGTTCTGTCCTATATCTAAAATCTGCCAAAATCTTTTGGTGTGATCCTATTTGTTAGTAATATGGACAAGACATTCTCTAACAGCTGTTTTTGGACCTAATACTCAGTTGGTTTAGATTGCATGAATAAGTCTCAAGTAAAGCCTTCTTTCTGATGTGGTTGTGAGGGGTAGGGCTGTGAAATAGGAATCTATATGATTTCCTAGGCTCAATTCCCTAGCGGCAGTGGGGGCAGGGGATAATTAGATTGTTAGGAATGGCACCTTGTTTCCAGTGCAGATTTCCTCTTGGCTTGGCTTACTTTGCAGGAATAGGTTGAGCATACGAGGAAGTCCCTCGATGCTCAAGGGACCGATATGGAAGGGTTTGTCCCAACTCCAGTGAGGCAACCAGAATGCTTTTGACTTTTGACTATTTACATGTTAACATTATGTCTGAATCTGTAAAATGGTTAATTTTCTTTGTGGTCTGTTGAAACAAGGCAAGATTAAATGCAGTTAAAGGTATAACAGTAAATGGGTGCTTAAAAATGAAGGTAAAATATAAGACAGTACGCTTCTGATATCAAATATGAGATAAAGAAGAAAGAACATGTGAACTCAAGTTTCATGCATGTAAAACTAAGCTATAGCTCATTGAGATGTCTGAATTAGGCCATTATGTGAAACTATTGTGTAAGTTAATGTAATACTTAAGCTCTCTTGAATAATGGGACTGTTCACACAAATACCATAAAGTTATTTTTCTTACCTTGAGGCCTGTATTCACAGGACTAAGGTAGCTATTAATGAGTAGTTTCCACATGCTGCCACTTCCCTCCAATTGGTGACACATATCCCATTAGCTCCTGTTGCTGAAAATCAATCCCAGTGTGCATTGTTCCTGCCTGTCTTGCCTTCCTTTTCCCTATTGGCTCAGATACTCTCCTCAGTGTGGCTTTGACCAGCTGCTTTTTCTTGGTATTTTTTCTGCTACTCTGTGAAGCAACTGCTTCCTCTATCAAATAGCAGTGTTGCGCTAGAGGCGCACTGCAGGAATGCTCCCCACTGTTGTCCTTCACTTCACCAGCATGCAAGTACACTCTCCCACACACCCACCTCTACCACCTCCCTCAATGCATGTGTGCCCACTCCACATACCCCCATGTGCAGGAATCTGTTGGATAAGGTATTATTAAAAGAGGAAGATGAACTTTATTCCTACTTGTTTAAAGGGAAGTAGTGTAGAGGTCAACAGCTTTGCTTGATGACTTGTCTGGGGCAGTATGCTTACTCTATAGTACAAAAAATTCAAAAGATGTAACAGTGTGAACCTCTGTTTGCGCCACAGCTACCAAAACAGTTGGCGACTCTTAATATGAATTTAAAATTAAAACATTTATCACTTCTGCTAACACATACTTAATAGCTACAGTCAAATGATTTAAATTATGTATGTAGCTAAGTGAAAGAATAGAATCTCTAAGGCTGAATTATTCGAAACTAAAAACAAGTTAGGATGAATTAGCATAAAAATATAGGTTGGGGCTGGGCCTCTGAATTTTCCTATAGCTGTTGAGAGCGCATCTAGGGTCCATAGAATTGCACCCTGACAAGTGTAGAAAGACAAGTGCGGATCTAGCCTTAATGGAAATAGAAATGCAAACATAGAATGCATGCCATTTAAATGACTGCGTATCTTCCATTTTTATAACTGCTCTGTGCTCCAATTAATGACCTCTAATTCTTGAATAAACTGTTGAAGGATTAAGAATGAATGAGCTGATCACTTCTGTGCTTTATTTTATTCTTTCAGATTGGATATTCTGATAAGTATAATAGCTACTTGGGGTTTATAGAATGTACATGGAAGGTGTGTAATGCTTGGATGACATATAGTAGTATATAAGAGTATGTTGTTTTTCTCTCTAATTCAAATACCTGCTACAAATTCAAGCTTGCATGTATTGTTAACACTGCTGTTACTCATATTTCCTGCAAATGGACAGATGCATATTTGACTTAAAGAACCTAAAATATGGGTGAACCTAAAATATACAACATTTCCCAAGCAGACTTGCACAGTGGAATTTTCTTGTCCTCTCCTCCTGTACCTTTACACAAACCCTCAGAATCACCTCTAGAGACTCTCTAGTGTCAATCTAAGGGAAAGTTGCAAATATGGATTTCAATGACAATCCATTAGTTAATATGTGTAACAGTCAGCCAGTCTCTGGGAATGAAGATGGAGTAAGATTCCCTATTTATTGACAGGGTTGTAGCATTGCAGGTATGTTCCTCCTTCTGCAGATGACCTACTACTGAACTGGATTCTTAATGTCTCTGTTACTATCAATTTGTGACATGGTATTGCTTTGTCACGGCTGCAAAATCTTGCCCTGACACAGCAGAATTTTAAAGATTACAATAGTACTGTCTTTTAGTGGAAATTGGTGGGCATCAAGGACTTCTTATCCTTAGCATACCTAGGGAATCAAAGAATTAATAATGCTGTTGAAATATGAACTAACTAGCAGTACATATATATAATTAAAACCTCAAAAGTTTTTCAGTGACTGGATTCATCTTTGTGCTAGAGGAGAAGTTAAGGCCTGCCTGCCTGCCTCCCATCCACATGCTGGTCTCCAAACTGGATTTCAGTTTGTGAATTGACCTGCAGTAATCAAGTTTTCTGAGTAATGTGTGATCTTGTTTTAGTTACCAGCAAACATGCTTAACCTTTGCTAGCAGCAGGCAGGACAGACTATGCAGCACTCTCATGGTTTTCCAGCCATAGACAGATGGGCAATAACACAGAAGGCTTCAGAATCAGAAACATGGTGTACTTTGCATCCCAGATTAAATTTTCTTCCAATAATTTGCCCAGATACTGTACTTTAAAATGTTCATAGCAACAGATTAAGTTATTTGTTATATCCAGAAGAGTTTGTGGTATTATATTCTAAGCTAACTCTGAAAGCATTTTACTCTAAGAGGTAAAAATCTGTTGACCAGAGAATTGAAAGTGAAGGGGAAAGATGGAAGTGAAGCAGTTATGTCAGCCTTCCCATGATGCCTCCCATAATTCCCTGATCATGTAAAATAGATAATTTTCATGAAAAACAAGAAAGTCTAAATATAGCTGCATTCATCAGACTGTTGACATGAGCTTCTTAAAAGGATGTGTAAAATAAAGATTAATTTTGTTTTAAGGTTTGAAAGTTCCTGCTTTGTGTATGTTCTTGCTAATCATATTGGGGTATTGTTTAAATACACTTTTAAGTGGGATGAATTTTGCCTCTCCGATTGTAATTCCTAGGTTATTTATGCTTCTTATACCATTTGTTAGCCCAAAATCCTCTTAGAGTGGCTTGCATAAAATCAGTAAAGTAAGATCGTCCTTTTCCACAGGTTTGCTGTCTAAAAAGATACAACATTTCAACATAAAAGAAAAAAGGAATGGAAAAGGCAGAAGAGAAATTAAGTAGTCTTTCA